CGAAATGAACATAATTTCTCGTGTAAATGTAAGTCAAAATAAGAAAGTCTTGTATAAAAAAATTTCATTCTATACTTTGTTCTTTATTTTACTTGATTTGCATTTGAATTAAGACTTTTATTTTGCTTGTATTCACGACTTCTAATATATTCTATGTATAATCGGATTCTTATACACAAACTCCATTTTATCGACATAAGATATATGTATATTAAATAATATGTTAAAATTAAATTTACTCGAAAAATTGAATTATTTTTAATATAATATTATATATATATATATATATATATATATATATATATATAAAATTAATATATTAATAAAAAAAATATTATTATTATTCTAGAATGCAGATCTTATTATGTTTTATAATAGAAATCTATTAAGATGCATAAAAAAATATATAATTTTCAAACAAGGTAATAAAAATATGAAAATGATTTTTTTCAAAATCAGTTTTCCGATTTAAGATTACTAACATGTATTTGGTCGATTCCTAACGTTTTAAACAAAATTTTATTATTCGAGGTCAATGAATGCTATCATTATACCATATAAATGCAAATTATAATATTGTTTTGAAGTTATCGCGTTATTAGAGACATCGTCTCTCGTGGGACATCGACATTCGTATTAAAAGCCATAACCTGCTCGTGAATTTCATTCTCTTGATTAACGGGGAGAAGCATGAAAGCGTTTCCTCGTTATAATCACGATCTCGTCGCAATAAATTCGTCGTCATACAGAGAAAATGGTTAAATGAAATTTTCCGCGACAAAACAATCGTGTGCCGAAATCATTCAAATAAATATTTACTTTTTGACATCATTTTTCTCTTTATCTTATTGTTTTATCAATGGCATGATTGTAATGATTTCGTAAAATCATAACACAATAATATTTTTGCATAATTTAGATAAAAATTTTTATTAAAAATTCATGAAAAACACCTATATATTAGTTTACATTAAAAATATATGATAAAAAATATAACAATAAAAATATAAAATTAATGTAAAATAAAAATATAAAATTAATATATTAGAAATATTTTTAACTTTATTTAACCTTATCATTTTATAGCGCGAATAAAAAAATATATTATTCACAGAATTAAATAAAATATAAAAGTATATTATTCATAATGTAATTAAGAACGTTACTTTTTATCAATATTATTTAATCTTAATATTGTTCTTTTAAATAGATAACTGTACATTTAAAATAGTATTAGAAATTATATATATAAAATTTCTAATCATATATATATTTATTTTTTTTTTCTTTCAAAAGGTAACAATGACATTTCTGTTTTTGTTGAAAAGAGAATTATAGTAAAAAAATTCTTATTCTTTCTCTCACGTAATCCTATTTTATTGTCTTTCTGTCTCAAAAGGAATCTGATCAATCGATAAAGAATTTGTCGTTCAACTAGAAAAGCTAAGGTCGCTTTATTTGTTCTTATAGCGAAATATGATACATGCACACGCACTTTCGTATCAGTGATAGAGAGCATGATATCTATTTCTGTTTTTCATTTCCACATTACTTGGATTACATCAATCCAAACCTATATTAAAGTTCTTTTGAATATTGCATAAGTAATTTACAATTATTTTTGTATTTATCAAGTTATCTTTTATCTGTATTTTTCATCATTTTGAAAACGATTTTCTCTTAATAAAAGAAATTTATATAAATTCTCTAATTTTTAATTAGAAAAATATTAAATTTTTAATTAGAAAAATATTAAATTTTTAATTAGAAAAATATTAAATTTTTAATTAGCTTATTTTTAAAATATTAAAAATAAGTACATTTTTTTAGAACTTTTCTTTGATGTATAACGACATGTAAAGATATACAAAGATATTTTTAATATTAAAAATTAAAAATTTTTGATAGATAATAATTTCATCTCGCATTTTTGCGAAGAAAATATCGATTATAAATTAATCAATAGATTCATAAGTGCAAACTAACTAGTAATATGAATAACTTAAGAGATATATACTGCATGAACGAAAAAGATTATTTCTTTTTTCTTAAATGAAACATACATTATATTTGCAATAGTAAGCTATTTACTAGAGTAAGCTATTATAAATAAATGATGCCACAATAAAAAATAAAAGGAAATTTATCATTAAGAGCAAATACTTATCTGTAATTGAGTCAACAAATTAATTAATATAATAATATGTAGTAATATATAAACGTATCCCAATGAACGTTTTATACAACGTTTTTAGATTCTATATAGACTGTCTTTAGCCACAAATTTCCAATTCTTCTAAATAAAGAAAATTTCATTTTCCTTAAAATTTTACAACTAAAATGTGACTTTCCCTATACTCCCACGAGTATTCACTCCATCGTAAACACATGAATCGATTGATCCTCCGCGGAAAAAACAGAAGGTAGAACTATCAGTTACTCTCCGTTGGGGTCGGATCTATCCAGTACGCTCTGGGACCTAAGTCAAATCATTCGCGCGTATATGTCGACACCCGCGTACGATATATGCACGCATATCTACACGCGTGTGTGCACACATATACATTTTTAGCACCTATGAGGCGTAATCCACCTTCCATATGACGTGACATAACGCGGAGCGTGCTGGCGGGCCCTCCTCGGTGGCCCTCTCGCACAGTCGCGGAAAAATCAATAGCGAGCGTGGTATGGTGCGGCATGGCGTGGCGTGGCGTGGCGGCGTCACTCTTTCAGGTGGCCGCTCGCCTTGTGCCTGTGCGTGGACGGAAGCCAACAGCTTGGCAGACGGACGTACACAGGTAAGCGGGCAGCCATCCGATCGAGCGCACACCAACGAAAACGAGTCACCTGCGGGGCACATACTCGGTCGTGGCAGGCGCGCGATCGAATTCCCGCCTTCCACCAGAAGACGTATATATGTATACACGCATATATACATGCTAATGTGTACGTATATACATGTATGTGTATATGTGTATGTGTATGCTGCGCAACGGTGGCATTGCGCACGGTGTTATCATTTATTGAAGCGGCGTTAGGACTGTATCTTTCCTCTCTCCTTCTCTTTTCGATTAAAATTTTAAGACTTTTACATTGATTTTTTTTTCTAAATAAGACTTCAGAATCTTCTTCTAATTAATAAATAATTCTTAATTTTAGTCATTGTTTTACCCAATTATTTATTTAAATATTCGATGAAAAGTATATAATTTGATACTTGTGTATATGTATAATATAATAAAAATAATTTCTTGTGTGTAATTAACGAATTTATTTATTAATAAATTATCAAAATTTTAACTTCTATTTAAATTCTTAAAGAATTTTAAAGATATATATATTAATATTTTTATTTATATTATATAAATCAATATATTACAGTATAAAATGTTTTAATCTAAGATCTTTCTTTAAGAATTGATTTTTTTAATGCGAAAAATGAGCAATAAGAGAAATCTTATTTTAGAAATATAAAAAATATAAACATTTTTAATTTTTTTAGGTCAAATTGTATAAATCATGAAGCATTAAATAAATATTTTCAGTATACAAATTCAGTAGAAAAATAACTCAAAAATTTAGCGCTACCATGTTTTCCAAGAGTCTTTCTTGTTACTTTCGTATCTGTATTTTTCTTATCTGTATTTTTTCTTGAAAAATTTTATAATATTTTTGATTATGTACACCGTTATTATTAAGTACACACAGTAATAACATGGTGTAGAAACTTCATTACAGTAGTTTGAAAATTAATGTAGAACAAAGTTTTCGTGACTTGTATTATAACCCCAGCATAATACACATTTCTCTACAATTCTTGATGTGGTAGATGTTTAACATTGTAAATTAAAGATATATAATTAAAGATATGTAACGATTTGTTTTCATTTTACAAACAGTTGTGTCATACAACTGTTTCAACTCCGAACAGTTGCGTCATACCAGCTGCCACAAAGTCACGAGCAATCGCAAAAAATTGCGCAAGATTATATATAGTTACGGTTGATCGCCGAGAGAACAAAGGATACTGATGAATGCGAATATAATGAATAGTACAATTACATACGTAATTGCTAACTTCACGCTCCTCTGTTTCGTAATTGATTTTGCAAAGTTGCTCGATTCAAAACCATTAATTTCATTTAATTTCTGTATATCTAATCATTCGTCATATTTGATATTTTTGTTATAATAACATATTGAAATATTATCGAGTTATCACCACCTTGAAATTACGCATATAGGAATTTTTTCCACTGATTTTCTATGAAACACATGGCTTCTTTAATATAGTAACATATAATTCATTCTCCCTCATCGTGGAGTTTGATTAAAATCATATTAGGTATTCGAGAGAAATTATTTTAATCAACATCTAAATTTGATTTTCTACGAGTGTTTTCTTTTTTAACATTCTATCTATCATATGTATTTCTATAAATCTTTCCTCTTCTTTTTCATTAGATCATTTCGAGCGTGCATGTTGTATCGCGTTCGTATTATTAATGAGTGACATTCTACACGCGGCAGAGGTACGCGCGTGTCAGCAGCCTGCGCGAGCATCTAAATACGCGCTTGCGCGCGCTATGACGCGCGAGCGTCGGCACGAGCAAGGGAGACAGACACGATATATACAGACACGGCGCAGGGGATGGAGAACAAACCAATATGGCGATAACGCAAAAGTGCGAGGGAGAGAGGACGGAAGGAAGGAAGAGGGTGAGAATAGTGTGGCCTCTCGATGGAACGAAGGGAGGAAGGAGAGAAATATATAAAGTGATATCTGATATTCAAGGGTGGCCTTCGATAAAGCGAAAGTAGGAAAGGGGATGAGAAAGGGCTCGCGATAGTCTCGCGAAAGAAACGCACGAAATGCGAGACGGTTACACACGAAAGGAGAGACGGAACGAGCGCGTCAGACAAAGGGGTGGATTCCACCCCTTTGCACACGGCTATAGTGTCGGCGTACGCCTTTAAAGAGCAATTCTTAGGACACTTACCTCATCTTCGCCGGTGGCCACCGTGTTAACGGAGTCCATGCTCTGCGATAGCGGCGCATCCATGATGCAGGCGAGTTTGCCGGACGGTCCGGGGTTGCCGGGGGCTGCAGTACGAGCGGGTGGCGGCGATGAGTCCACCGTGTCCCGTCTCGGTCGTTTTAAAGCGGGCGGCGTTATGGTTGTACCGGCGAAGACGACGGGCGCCTCCAGGACGTATCACTAGAAAATAACCTTCCCTTCGTGAAAAAGCACGGGGGCCGCGGCCGCCTCCTCCTCCTCTTTCTCCTCTTTCTCCTCCACGCCTTCTCTCCTTCCCTGACCCGGTCTTTCTTCTCTCTCTCTCTCTCTCCTGGCCGGCTTCCCCCTTTCTTCCTCCTCTTTCTTCTCCCCTTCCGTCTGTCCCTTCCTTGTTTCTTCTACCTCTTCTTTTTCGCGTCTTTTCGCGGCGCCGACCTCGCTCACTTCTTCTTCCGCTTCCTGCTGCGGTTCTCCGATAGCGCCACCTCCGGCTACCCTACAACGACGTCGCCGCCGCCGTTGCACCTGTCACACGTTGCCGCTGCAAGGGAATCGTGGCAGCGTAAAGGCGAGAGAGAGAAAAAGAGAGAGGGGGAGAGAGAGAGCGAACCGAGCCGTAAATGTGTGTACGAAGCGTGGTGCACGAACGTGTGCGGTCTGTTGCGCGTTTATGCGCCTGCGAGCGTCATGTGTATACGTGTACGCCTGGCCTGCAGGTGTTGTTCCCACGCGTCTATTTTAGAGCAATCGATACACCAGCAGCGTGTCCGCCACGAAGGAGGAGCAGGGCAGCACCCGGTGAACGCGATCGGCCACGTCGGCGATATTCCTCCTGTAAACCGGATGTTTCATCTATCGATGAGCAGCGGTGGTAACCCATGCACCGGATGCAACGAGCGTGCGATGACGTTCCGGTTGGACGAATTCTAAGGTTGCTCCGTGAACACGCTCGTGCACTTACACGCCACGACGAGGACGACGACGACGGCGACGATGACGACGACGACGAGGTTGCGCGAGGCGTACGACTTGCCACGCACCGGGTGGCTCGCACGCAGCAACGCTCCGGAAAACCAGTGACGCTTGATCGTAGTAGCGATCGGGTAAGGTTCGCAGACGACGGGTTCGTATTTGACGTGCTCGTATGTGTACTCCTCTCTCCCTCTCTCTCTCGTTGCGGCCTTCTGTCTCTCTATCACTTTATCGATGCGTTCCGTGCGATACGACCGCGAATCGTGGCGAATTTTATGCGCGAGCGTGAACGCGTGCGGCAGCGGCAATGACGATTTCTTCGACGAGAGCGCGAGAGCTCCGGAACGCGTAAGGACGTAATTCGAAGGGGGCGATTCGAAAATGAAAAACGCGCAATGTATACAATCGAAACGAGAATGAACACACCACCGGCCAAGTGTCAAGGCAAGTAAAGAGAGTGATAGTAATAATAATAAGAATTTTGTTACGTGAGCGCTGCGACACGACTGGTACGCAGGTTGCCGACAGACTGACGGAGCGTGAACGAGCGTGATGGCGGTGAGACGGGTGCGCGGGGTCGCCGCGCCGCGAGGGTGGAGTGGGGTGGCCCGCGGGCCACTGGGTCGGGGTAGGTGAGTGGGTGGATGACAGAGAGAGGAGGGAAGGGGGGGCTTTGGATCGAGCGCCTGCGATGGGAACGAGGGGAAGAGGACAGGTCGCTCGCGATTCCGACGAGGGGACAGAGAGGCGAGAAGCGTGCGTCTGGAGGGGAATCGGCGGTTCCCTCTCCCGTTGCGACTCGCCGCCGGAAAAGGCGACGGAAAAGCGGAGCTGCACTCGACGAAGGGATGATTGCCGTTGCGAGGGGAAACGTGCGAAGATAGGGGTGCATCGAGGTTTTCGCACGTGCTTTTGGATCACCTTCGATACAGAGAAGAAATCGTTACTATACGAAGAATATAGAGAGGATCTCAAGAAAAATGATAATACTCTTCGTCTGTCTCCAGCGAAATTATGATATACAATAAACAATAAAAAAAGAATAATAATAAAGAAAAAGAATAAAGATGTATATCAATATATATGTTTATACATGTATGAGTACACATATATGAGTACATATATATAACTTTTGATTATAATATATATATATATATATATATATATATATATATATTTAGTATATATAATAATTCGATTTTCATTTAATTTTGAAATTAAATTTCTGCTTGTTGATATATATTCTTTGAATAAAAAATAAGAAGCTCTTGTGAGTAAAACTTGCAAATACATTCGCCAAACATTTTAATTATTAAATATATATATATATATATATATATATATATATATATATAAATTTTCTACTTTTTTACAAATATTATTTTTTAGATAAAAAAGAGGAACTTCCTTTATCAATTTACTTTATTTTTATCTCTTTTTAAATAATATCTTTAATAATATAAAATACATCATTATAGAAAGCAGAGTGTTATTTATAAATTATATAAAAATCAGCATAACTTGAAATTAGAAATAAATAGCAGTTCTAAACATTATGGGCGTTTTATTTTACATTTGAAAGGAGAAGTAGGTTTCGTTAGAAGTATAGAATTATAATGCTTTCGTCTGTGCTTGTTACGCACGGTATTATAATAACCGCAATTATTGAAGTTACTTTATTAAAATGAGTTGTAACAAAGAGGTCAAGAGAGAAGGCATGCCCTGAAGGAAAATCCCTTCGCCAAGCTTGTTACAAAAGACGACTGAAGGCAGAAAAGTCGTGTTTGCTATATAGACAAAAACAAATGCGAAATATGCAAAATGTGCATTAAAATAGAAAATATGCAAAATTTCTATCTGTAATATGTAAAAAAATCTGTTCTAATAAAATTTATATATCTTAAATTGCTTACAAAGTTAAATAAAAATTGAACTATTTGTATGTATGTTTATTCTGTCGAATTACAAACATAATATATTTCAAGATTAATTAAAATAATAACTGATGAATACAAATACATACATAATATTAAGAAATTTTTAATACACTTTCTTATATAAACTTTTTTTCTATACATCTGAACTCTTTTAAAAAATCTACACTCTTTTATTTTACAAATTGTATTTAAGAAACGGATATTACACATAATAGTCTATATAAAGATGAACTTTATTTATAATATCGCGAAAGATTTTGATTCGTTCGCACGCAAAAGAACAATATAGAACAAATTTACATCGATGCTTCGAGGAGCAAATCACGAGGTGCAACGATGCATCGAAAGTAACTGCGTACTTTCTTCCGAAGCACATCGCGTTATGCACTCACAGCATGCATTCTCTCTTTCTCTCTAAAAGGAGGGAGGGAGGGAGAGAGAGAGAGAGAGGGAGGGAGAGAGAGAGAGAGAGAGAAAGCAGATGGCATGGGAGGAAGAGCGGTGCAGATCGCGTGCAGTTCCGTTCTACACGAGGAACTCCGTGACCACACGCTTTCCCCCGTAACTAACAGGTGGAAGCCGTTCAGAATGCGTAGCTTTCCTCGAGATTAGCAGGTGAAAAATGCCCACGGCTATGTCGCAGATGACTCAGAAATAAACCCAGGGAAAAGAGGCAGAGAAGAAAGTGGGGAGAAGCATAAAGAAAGGGGGCAGATGAACGATATGTAAGCTGCTTTTGTTCCAACTAGTTTTTAAATTATGGGATGGCACTAGAATCCTGTTGCGCGAGAGTGAACAACGCGTTCACGATGAGAGAAGAGAAAAAATACCGTTAGATTGGTCACAAAGCATCCTTTCTAATGAATTGCTTAGAAAAATAATAAAAATATGACACTTAGCAACAAGAAAAATCGCAATTAACTCAAAATAAATATTTAACATTTCTTAATTAACTGGCTTTTGAATTATGATATTTAATTAATTATTTCAATTTTATATTATAATAGAAATTTGAGTATATTGAAATAGTATTAAAACATCCTTCTTATGTAAAATAACTCTTTTCTCGAAATATATAATCAATAATAATTTTTTTAATTTATTTAATTAAATTTATGTTAAAAATTACTCGATTAAAAAACTGTTACAAATATCTTAAAAGCTTTAATAATTTCTTTCTCAAATGTTATGTCTTTGCTCGTTCTTTTCACCCAACATATCTGATAGGAGACATGAAATAAAATAATAAATTTATCTGTTAACGATACCGTTTCTGACACAATTATTTAAAATTTGTATTTTCTATGCAAATCGATTTAATTTCTATAAAATATCGCGAAGAAATCATAAGGAAAATTTGTCGAATCGCGGATTATTATTATCAAACATGTAAAATAGTTGCGTGCTCTGCGTATTTAAATCGTACACCGTTGAATAGTAGCAAGTAAACTGTATTATTGATGGTTTATTGCTCGAATCGACCAACGAACGATGGTACCACGAAACACCAAGTAAATGCATCAACACACACACATGTGCTGACCGATCGACGAAAATATGCGGAATTATTTATTCGCCACGCGCAATTATTTCTGTATCCTTGGATAGAAACTATCGCATCGTGTTTCTTATTTCATGAGAAACTAGATCCAATACCATACTAAAGTCAAAGAAAAAGTTTCCGTGTTCTTTATGCAAATCTTATCAAGTTTTACATTCTCATAAAATAAAAAATTACATACAAATTGTACAACATAAAAGAAAGAAAATATTATTCAAATATTTTTGCTTACCTACATGTTTTAAGCACTATTGTCAATGTGTGATTTTAAATTCCTTTTTAGAATCTTATTTCAAATAAATTTTATTTAACAATATCTCATCCATTTTTTAATCATTTTATTTATTTTTATTTATTTTTTATTTATTTTATTTATTTATTTTTTAATCATTTAATCATTTTATTTTTTATTCTTTATAATAAATGATGAAAATATGTAATAATAAAATTAATATTTAGTTATTTCTTTTAGAAATATATTAAGTGCAATAAATATTAGATTATTAGAAATTTCAATATAGATTCTGAAAATTTAGCGACGTAAAATCTATGATCTAATCAAATGCATTTTTATCAAATGAGAATAATGCTGTATATATATATATATATATATATATATATATATATATATATATATATATAACTATACTATTTTTAGCACAATATTTACCCCTTATTTATCGCATAATATAATAGAAAAGAGAAAAGAAAAATTTTTTAAATCACTACTTTTATAATATAATATGATGGAAACGCTTAATTTTTAATAAATTCTATATATATGCTTTTTTAAAGACTTTTATCTGTGAATAATTATAATATGTATAAGGAATGCCAAATAAAAATAATATAGTTATATATTATAAAATTATATCTATTAAAAAATTACCTATTAATTTTATCATTACATTATTCAATTACAAATTTCAATTATAATAAAAATTAAGAAATTAAGAAAAAAATTAAAAAAAATTAATTCATATATATATATATATATATATATATATATATATATATATATATATAAACATAAACTGAAAATCATATTTCGATCTTTTATAATTATTATTATATATATTATTATATATATTTTAATTCACTTCTATTTGCATAACCAAAGCTAATTTGCACTACATATCCTGTTCTATTCCCGTTCGGTCCTACTACCTATTTTTATTGAATTTTTACAAAGGAATACGAATGAGAAGACGTAGAGGTCACATATTATTTTAAACGTAACATGAGTACTATTTAAACTAGAAACATTATATTTAATATTGATTCATATACGGAAATTATATCGGGGGAAATTATAACCGTCAAGGGTTAATGTAGCGACCCGCGAGACTTCCGATTAAGCGTTTCCAGAACGTATTTCGATAGCCTCATAGGAGTTGCTTGCATCCTCGTCCACGAGAGTTACTTGGATGCAAACTGACTGCTTGAGTTAGTCCGACTCCAACATCCAGTGAATATTTCATAAGGAGAGACTGGTCGATTTCTATGCTTGTGGCCACGTTGCCGCGAAAATCGTTAGTCGATGTATATAAATAACAGTAGCGCGTGATATTTAAGATATATGCAAGTATATTAATGAATTCAGTATGAATAAAGAATATTGATTTTTTTAAATACTATACTTCTTTTAAATTTTACATTTTTATAAAAATTACACATGCAAATACACGTTTTTAATAATTAGCATAGTTGTTATTATGAAGAAAATTAAAAAAATAAATTAAAACATATTAATAATTATTAAATTAAAATACAAAATTTCAAAATATATATTTATCTGTATATATCTATATATTTCTATATATATCTATATATTTTTTTTTAATTTTCTTCATAATAACTATACTATAATTATTAAAAGCTGCATATGTAATTTTTATAAAATGGCAAAACTTAAAAGAAGTATAGTATTTTAAAAAAGTGATATACTTTTTATTCATTGAATTAATTAATATACTTGCATATATCTTAAATATCACACGCTACTGTTATTTATATACATCGATTAACGATTTTCGTGGCCTTAATATTTTAATAAAAGGGCAATTATAGTAATAAGTATGCTATTATATATGCCATAAGTTTAAGATCAAAATTCTTCTAGTACACTCTGTATATGATAATATCTAAATCCTGATTACATCACACTATAGAAGATTATGCCATTATGTATCAGTGACAATGTGATGAATCAGTGATTGTACGATGATTTGGCGACAACTGCAAGTCGCAAATAATTTATTGCGAGCAATCATTCGAATATAACAATTGCTATAAATTGTCGGCTTCCCTTACTATTTCACTTATTCATTGGCGAAAGATAGTAAAATTATTTGCAATAATAATTATATACAAGAATTAGCGAGATACAAATTAATTCGTTAACGAATCATTAATAATTCCAATCGACGTATTTCTCTCAAAACACATGTAATAAAATAAATAATATATCCATATATTAATTATTATTGAAATGTTAAGTATTATATCAAAATAAATGATTGGTACACAATCATTATAAATTATTAAATATATTAAATGTATGTATGCGTATGTATTTTATATATGATAAATAATAATCCATGGAAAATTTAAATTTATAGTGAAAAAGCAAAAAATATTAGTGTTCGAATCAGTAAACAAATTAGTATAATTTAGTAAAAGTTATATGCATTATATAGCTTCTGAATTGATTTTGATGAAAGAATATTTAATTATTATAATAACAAATATTTTATTTAATTTTTTAATTCCGAAAAGTTTTTCAGCAACAGGATTGGTAAAAACTATCTTTATTATTCAATTATCTTAACATTAGTTTAAGAATTTTAAAAAATACAAATAAAGACTCGTTATGTGTACGTATATGTGTGTGTAATTTGATTAAAATTCTTTATATTTAATATATAAAATATATATAAAGTATATACGTGTGTGTAAAGCTTATATGTGTGTATGTATGTATGTATGTATGTATGTATGTATGTATGTATGTATGTATGTATGTATGTATGTATGTATATACATACGCATACGCGTGTGCACATTATGTGTGTTCGTATGTGTACAAATCATAATTATGATATGTATATTATATATTATATATTATGATGTGTGTATAATTACGATTTTTCAATAACATTTTATAGCTGCATAAAATGCAGTAAAATCAGAAAAGATAGAAAAGTATAGAATTAATTATATATAGAACATTGAAGTATATGTGTATACATACTTGATGGTGATTGTACATACTTGATTGATTGTACTTTTGTTGTATTTTGATAAAATATAAAGTGAGATATCACGAAGGTGATTCCAGTGAAGTGGTTAGTCAATATCGAAACTGATGATGTGACGTAGCGATTATACATGATATTGAATGCGTTACAATGCCACAATATGCAACGCTTTTTACCAGAGACACTTGCGACAATTGTTTCCACACGAGATATTTACACTTAGACAGTAACAATTGACACAAAAAATACATTTTTATACGAAACGAAATTCGAATACGATTTTGCGATTTATCTCAACGCGAGATTGACCTAGATTGCCCGCGATTCAAAATTTAAGAAGTAACACTGTGATTCTCGATATATCGAATCAATCGAAGCAGCAAATAATCCAACGCGCCTGCGCAAATAACCTCGGCTTTTTCTTTATATCATAGACATGTAAAATACATAGATGGCGCATTAGCTGTCGATATCGACAAAGAATGACAGAGGGTGTAAAGATAAAATCTCAAATGTATCTTGTTCAATTCGGATCTTTTTCGCTTTCTTTTGGGTAGGCTATTCTTCTGGTTGGACTGTATATTTGTGATTGATGAATAGTGTTACTTCCTTTATCGTAAATTCTCTTATGAGAACAGGCCTCTCTATGTATTTTATACGTTTATGTTTTGGCATCATCTGCTAGAAATTGGCGGGAAAGTTGGCGAGCGTGTAACGACACGTGTAAATAGTTTTATGTACATACATACGTACATACAGTGTTATTTATGAAAATTTATGAATAATGTGTGATTTAGAAAAGCGTGAATAATTCTTATGATAGTAATAAATAATATTTTTATCACATTTTTAATATTATAAAGCACAAAAATAATAAGAAAGCAAGGTTAGGCTCAGGCATCTGTAATCTATTATATCAAGAAGTCAACTGATCAATCAATGACAGTTTTGATCTCTTATTGGCAAATTCTTTTATGTTTTAAAGTTATAATTCTATGCATAAAATATATTTTTATATGTAACTACAAATTTAATATTAACTTGTAATGCTATTTATAATGATCATTGATTGATTAAATTTTAACACTGCCTTATTAATATAAACATATACATATATTTTTCCCTAAATTACATTCTAAACAAAATAAACTTAAATATAATTTATGATTAATCAATATATTTATAAATGCATATTTACCTTTTTTATAGGATTTGAAATATGGAGCACGAGGACAGTGATTCTGATCTAGACATCTTGAATAATTTAATATCAAATGATATCGAAGAGACAGGTGGTGTTGAAGAGAAAGATAATGACCAGTCTAAGTATCTTGAACAATCTAAATCATTTGAATCAAAGAAAACTTTAACAGAATTACAATTTAACTTCTTAGATTCTAAGCCTTGTAATATAAATAATGAGAATAAATTAGCTGATGAGAAAATTAGCAATACACTTTATGATGATAAGCTTGATTCTTCAGATGATGAAGACAGACGTTATTTTGAAGAGCAAAAATATTCCAATTATGGACGTGAAATAAAACAGTTATTAAAAGAGGACTCCTTTCTGAAGACTGAACAGCCCGAACAAAAATTACAGCATAAGAATAATATTTTTAATAATAGTAAAAATAAGACTTTTGATTTCAATAATACCATAAAGGGTAGCAATAATAACAGTATTATAAAGGATGTGTATAGCGATCCCTTCTTTGGAATAAGAATAATTAGTCCTCTCATATCTTCTACTGAATTGAAGGAACGTATGAAAGACAAAATAGTTGTAACAATATCAAGAGTAAAGAATCATATAAATTCTGATAATATACATAACGACTGGGTAATCGCTGGTGTATTAATCAATAAGTCAGCTACAAAAACTTCGCAGAAGGGAAGTTCTTATTGTATCTGGAAAATAAGCGATTTGTCTGATGATTTGAAAACTGTGTCTATTTTTCTATTCAGTAATGCCTACAAACAATTATGGAAAACAATCACTGGCAGTGTGATAGGTATTCTCAATCCAAACATACTCGAGAGTAAGGACAACATCGACCAAGCAACTCTATCAATCGATAATCCTCAGAAACTGATGATTTTTGGTAGATCCAAGGATATGGGTAAATGCAAATCGATCAAAAAGAATGGCGATCCGTGCACTGCGATTGTAAATACAAGTCGATGCGAGTACTGTGTCTATCACGTTAAACAGGAATATAAAAAATGTACGCGACGAGCGGACCTACAATCGAGTAACAATGCATATGGATTTACTGGAGATGCATTGAAGCGCATGAACAAGCAAATTGATACACGAAAACCTTATAACGGTCTGGCACCGTTTGTACCAGTACTGGCTAAACGCAATGAGAAGCTATACGAGAAGGATCGCGCACGTTTGGAATTGCTATCTGAAACCAATTCAGGCAATGATATTGAAAAAGCGAAAAGTGATTTGAAATCGAAGGTCAATGTGAATGCTAAGAAGAAGGAAGTGACTGTGGAACTGACGAACAAACAATCGAGGAAAGATTTTGAACGACTCAATAAACTGAGAGGCTGGCAACCCTCAAAGCAAGTAATAGTACAATCAACGCCCAATGGACCAGTTCTATGCTCCAGTCCGATACAATCAAAAGAAAGTAATTATACACCAAACAAACCTAAAAACAATCACATAGATAAGAAGATTAGTTTGGTCTCTTTGTCTTCAAATCCGCAACTGGGAGGGGGATGTAATCAAAGTACGATAGATTTCTCCGAGCCCATCACCAAGCAACAAATTCGTACCGCCAAGATGAACGCGATCAAGTGGGTGCAAGAGCATGGAAAAATCAAAGCGAAGAATCCCAATCAGATACGAATAAGTTCAAAAGAGAAACTGGATAAAAACGCGAAACGTCAGAGAGAGAATGATGAGCAGGAAGAACGAAGTACAAAAAAGATAAATATAAATAACAAATTCAAAGAGATTCTAGAAGCCAAATCTTCGCATACAGATTTGATTGAGAAATCCTATGATGAAGAAAAGGAAAAGTATTTTAACAAATTAGAAGTAAAGGAAAAGATGGAAGAAAAGATGATGAACACTTTCAAGATCAATTGTAAAGCTGTGAAATGTGCAATATGCAAGTACACGGCCTTCTCAGCATCGGACATGTGCAAGGAACAAAGACATCCGTTGCGTGTGATCGATGCTATTAAGAGGTTTTTCAAATGCGCCGATTGTGGCAACCGGACTGTCAGTCTAAATCGTATGCCGTCACACAGTTGCAGCAAGTGCAGCAGCTCAAATTGGGCCAGGGCGGCAATGATGGATGAGAGGAAGACCATTATTGCTACAGAGACTCTATCTATACGTGGCGCCGAAGAGAAATTCCTAGGTTCAATCGTGAAAGACGCAAATCTTAATCTTCTTGTCCCGGATGAAGATTAGTAAATTCAATTACCTCCCTTTCTCCCCGTCGATATTCTAGCTAAATTAAGAAATTGTAAGTATATAGTAAAATATTAAAGAAATGATGAGAGACGATATTGGTCAAGATATAAATTGATAGCATGTTTTACGTACACTAGCGAAAAAGTATTTGTTTTAGAATATAGAAATTCAAATGGCGTTGGAAAATGCTACGATATTGTTGCCAAGATATATTACTTTATACAATTATTATTTTTTAATATTTTTGTCTATATATATAATGAAAATACATAGAAAATTTGAAGATTTTACCATGACGAATTTACTATCTGAATCGAATTATCATTGGCTAAAATTATTAAAACGACGCGAAACTTGCTTATCCCGACTGATTACTTATTCCTATATATTTTATATCTTAGAATCTACAAATACAGAACATTTGATATCCTTTTGTTTATTGTCAGTATTATCAATTTTCTTCTCTTTTTTTTTTCACTTTATGAAAAATGTACAAATATAAAGAAATCCTAAGAGTGTATCTCTTGCACATTTCCGAAATGAAATACATTGAATCTTCTCCGTCCGAAATGTACACAGCGAGCAAAAATGTTTTGATATACAACCAGGTACAACAATCGTATAAAAAACATTATCATCTCGATTACGTGATTTCACTAAATTACGTTTGAGGTTTGATATTTAGGCTGAGGAGAATCATTATTTCCTTTCCCGTTCAACAAAGCTTTCTCATACAAAGATACCTTTTCTCCTTACGAGAAAAGTACTCTTTCCTTCATACAAAAACGATATGCACTGTGTAAAAAGATAAACATCAGCAAATTTCTTAATATAAAGAATTATAATTGGGGTCCGAAAGCATCGCATTGACATAAGTTACTATATATCAATATTATATAATACATATAATGCATTTAGAAACCATCTGAGTTGGATTTTCCGCGATGTGTTATGTCAATATAATAACTCCGGACATTAATAACTATCTGTTTGTATGAGAAACATAGATTGTATTTTTTCACTCATATACTGTTTAATATCCTATGGTTGTCCACAATTCTGTTCGGCATTTTATATTTATACAATGACACGTTACTCTTTTCCTTGTATATAAAACTTCGAATAAAATATGCGTGAGAAAAAGAAGATTAAAAATAATGATTAAACTTCAGAGTATTACTTACAAATAAGATATTAATTATTATTTGAAAATGTTTTGTCTTTTTTAATACATCATAATCAATTTTCATAGCTGTCACATATTTTATATATATATACATACATAATTGTAAATTCCCTCTCCAAAAAAACGAGCTAAAAAATTATTGAAAGAATTAATGAAATATATAAATAAATAATTATCATGCATAAAGAAAGTTATATTAATAAATTAGCTACATACATTGTGTTTATTTTCGAAAAACGATCTTTTTTTTATCATTTCACATTAATGTATGTATATATGCATATACGTGTATATGGAATGTTTTTAAATCATTATTTCAATCTTCCTTTTTACCACCTGACAGAGCATAGATTTCATAGGAAATGAGCAGCAATACCATCGAAAATTTCTTTTCCGGTCCTTAACTATAATCCTATATGCTTATAATCCACCAAAACAGATTTTAAGATAGCGCAAATTTAACTTGGTATATATATATATATATATATATATATATATATATATATATGTATATATACGAAAACGTGAAACATTATAATAAAATTATATCCATGATGTAGAGAGAATTGGATTGATTAAAAAACTTTTACAATTATGTTCTCGCTGTCAGATGAAAAATCTAATAAAGTATTAAGAAAACTAGTTTCGATTAAAAGACATATTTCACTGACAAAATATGCGGGAACAAAATAATCAATGACGAATATGTTGTTAGTAGATTATACAATTGTGCTTGCAGAGAGTAGAAAGGCAAGCCATAATCTAAGTACGTCATCGATTCAATTATTAAAGCAACTCGCGTGGACGACATTTCCGTGTACTTTTACATTTAGACAAAGATTACAAAGCTTTTCCTATTCTCTGTTTCTTGCTCTCATTCTTTCTTCATTCTTTTTTTTTCTCTCACTTTCAATAATTAATATTTATCGAGTTCTTAATTTGCTATCTTGCATACTTAAATCAAATATTCTGCTGAAGCAGAAACGAAGTCGCACCAATGTATAGAAATAAATAACTATCTAGACTCCTAGTGAGATGTTTACATATAAAAATTTGAAGAAACGTTAAGCCGGTAATTAACATCTGGGTGTCTTGAGAGACAATACACAGATACAAATTCGAATCATCGCGTTACTCTGAAATTCGTTGTGCACATATCGCAAAATTATATCTCTCTCGAACGTTCCACTTTGATGAAGCTCTTTTCTGCGCCTCTTTTGTCTCTGTGCAAGGTGTACATTAGAGTGATATCGCAAATATAATGTAAATACATCATTAAACGGTACATTTTCCGTCGGGAGACTCAGAATATTCGAGACTCTTTAAGAACCTTTGTTCTTTATACAATATTCTTTCACAAAGAATACTTCACCAAAATTGCACGTTACATTCTTTCCACATTTATACATACATAGCGTTATTAATTACAAAGGCATCATACGAATAAGCGAATTAAATTAACATCGTTAAAGTAAATTTCGTAATATTTCCAATATAACTGCCATTTAAATATTGCAGGGAATATCTTTCTTTTTATTGAGGTGCACCACTATAACAATGAAAAAGTTATTTCAATATATTTTTGCGAAGCATTTCTTATGTACAATTGTGTGAATGTACAAAAATCTAAGAGCCAAGAGCCTGCAATGGAGCAATGTAGAATTGCGAGGAATTATCTGTCCTTATGTTTACAAGTGTGTATCACTGCATAAGACGGAAATACTTCATTTACTCCGTGGATCGTGTACGCGACCTCAACTTATGTCTAAGGCAACTGTGCCGTTTTTAAAAATTGACATCTATTTACAGAACTCTTCGTTATCGTTATATGAATTTTTCAAATCAGTGTAGAATATACGCAATGTATGTTCATAATAATCAGTTTATTACAGCTCTCTTTCCAAAATTATATCTGAACAAAATAATGCTATACAGCCGTTCTTGTAGTTGAAATACTCATTCCTCGTAAAATCTATGATAAGATGATAAACATCAATTTAATATAAAATTACAACCGGATTATCGTATATTATACAACATTTGTATTCGGCACTATAGAGCGTGTAGTATAGTTGTTTAAACGAATCCCTGTATGAATAATTAAGGACCATAAATCGTAATACAAGGTGGTGAATGTTATGAGAGTAGGCAGGTATTAAGCTGGCTTAATTAAGTGTCACAGTCTTCGAATCTTTTCTTTCGTAAAATTATATCAGCCACGCCATATCAGCTGGTGCTTCTCTCTTTCATGTATCGATTTTACGATCTGTTTGATAAATTCAGTAAATTCTAAACAATAATTTTATGATATCGTACATACTGCATCGTATGAGAAATTTTGAAACATGCCTATTCATCGTTCTCTCTTAGGACACAATATGTAAAAGAGAATATACACTCGTGTCCCTTCAATTTTTCCCAAAGCTAAAATAACTAACTGACTTTGCCAACTGCTCGCACAAAACTATCTTACAAGAGGCTATATTCTAATTTTAACATGTATTTTGTGAATTTTTTATTTATTATTAATTTTTTACTGTTTATTTCTTATTTGCTTTGTCTAATTTTGTCGCAATTCGGCTAATAGATTTTATATTTTGACATCATAATTATGATTTTTCGTACGAGTTGACCACATGATTCAAATAACTTTTCTCTAAATCACATATGATGTGATTTCATATTTTACATGTACATACTTGATTTTAAACTTGACTTATTGATCAACACGGTTTTTGAAGTAAATGACATGAATAAAAAAGAAATAGAAAAAAATACATTATCGATTGCAGATTTGCGACAGATCAATTTTTATCTTATATAAATAGCCTCTCGTGATCTTGCTCTTTTCTTATCTTACCATGATATATTAAGAATCTAAATTTTTATGTTTTGGCTGAAGAAGCACAAATAAGTGCGGAAATGTTCCAAATATTGTTTATTGTTAGTTAACACTATTGTCATTTCAAAATAAATAAAAATCCAATTATTGCTCATTGAAGCCTTTTAATGATTTTATTTGTTTAAAATAACTAAATATCGGTTGAGTCATGGACCTAGTAATCGTCCAAATCAAAGCTATCGATTTCGATGTCATCCAGTTGCATGCTTTGAAAGTCCACCTTGTACCGCAAGATACCTGAAAAATATATATTTTAAAAAATACGTACTGGATAACGACGATTATTTCTCGCATAAAAAATTCCTTTGCTAAAACAAAATGTTTACTTTTATATTTTTATACACGTAAACTCATTATTAAATTGATAGCAAAAAAACAACTGAAATACTGAAATAAAATAAATAAGCAAATATATATAAATAAATAATTAAAAATACACAATTTACAGCATAATATCTACAACACTAATTTGCTAAATTATATAAATTATATAAAATGAAATCAAATTGGCATTTTATTAATAATGTTTTCCTAAATATACTTTTTATTTTGCATTGTAATATAATAAAACATCAAACTTTGTAAAACATTTATAAAACTTTATAAAACTTACAGAAAGCAGAAAAAACTATTTATAATTCAAAGAAAAAGCATTATTCTCGTAGAAAAAAATGAATGATTAGTTGAACATTTTATTATAAAATTAAATTTTTTTAATATTATTATGAAAAAGCGCGATATAAATTAATATTATATATCTGTATAGATATAGAATATTATACGTTTTAATGATTGTAATGATTATAATAAGAGAAGTAAATAATATGAAAGTTTGTAATCACGTATTAATAAATTTGTTGTAAATTAGTATTTGAATAAATATTAATAAAATATATAAAGCTATATGTGTACATTTTATGTAAAAGAAACTTTATATGTATATAAAATGTTTATAAAATTATAAAAACGTAAAATCTTAAAGAATTAACGAAAAATATCAATAAAAAAAGATATTATACATTGTAAGCTATATTAAGACTGTATATCGGTAATATCAATTTTTAATTTTTATCAATTATTTAAAAGCAAGTATAATATATTGTACCTTTCCCAATATGCAAGCTAATAAAAATAAAATGCCGATTAGTATTTGAAGGATATTAAATATTTTTTAAATTATTTCTAAAACACTTATTGAACTATTTTAAGCAATTGCTATAAATAAAAGATATAAATATACTTGTAGGTATTAAATGTAAATACATAATACTTATGTTCATTATCAGAGATAACATTTCTCGATAACTTTTCCACATATATGGAAACTCTTCTTTTTATTTACATTTAATTTCCTTTCTCTCTTTCTCTTTCTTTCTCTCTCTCTCTTTCCTTCTCTTTCTCTCCTTCTCTCTCAATACATTTTTTATTTAATTGTAGGATACATTATCTATGATAATAAACTCACGCCTTTATAATTTTTATTATTTAACATGCAGGTTTAATCATTGGGAATGTAATATTGAATTGATATATATAAAATTATGATTTTCTATTTCACATGGTATATATATACATATAAACATGATTAAGTGTACATTGGTACAAAAATATATCCAGTTGTGATATAAAATTTTAATATAACATGTAACATTTATTACAAGATTATAATGATTTTAATCCGTTTTTTAATGTCGACTATCCTATTTCAATTATTTACGTTACAATATAAATTTTATACTAAATATTTCAATATTTATAAAAATAATAATACTTTTTTAAACAAGTATTCACTATATCACTTCTAAAAGAATAGAAAATTCAGATAATTAATGTAATAATATTTTTATGATTAACACACATATACGTTACTTTCATATTTATAAGATACATTAAATGATATATTAAAGTAATATATTAAACATTAAAGTTGATTTCGAATTATTAAATGCATACTTGAAAAAGCATGGAAATAAAAACTGAAGTATGCAACTATACTGAAGAGATATACATGCGCGTATTATAATGTCTATAAAATTAAATAGTTCTAATGTCACAATGTAACGTCCAGTCTATACAAGTTCATTCATAATTTTAAAATTATAAAAATAAATCCTGGCAAAATGATTAAATATTGTATGTATAGAAAAGTGACAGAATAAAATTAAAAAAATATAATGTCAGAATTATGTCAAAAAAATGTATAATATAGAATCTTACTTGTGTGAAGAGAAAGAGACTGATGGTAAATATTAAATATAAAGAATATCATGCAAACTAAAAAATTTTTAATATGTTCTATGTACTATAAAAAAATATATGATGTTTGGTAGTTGGAAATCAGATATATACGCACACTGCATATGTTTCCATTCAGCAACTCTTATGTAACTCATATACTTAGTGAGTGAATAAAATAATGATCAAATAGTGTACATGTATATAAGATGTATATGTATGTGTGTGTGATATATATATATATATATATATATATATATATTCCAAAAAGTTATCTTGAGCAATGAGATAAAAATCGATTTTTAATGGGACAATATACAATGAGTAGTTAATGTTTAGTAATGATAATGAAACTTGTGCCATTGATAGCTGAGAAGCTCACATTGACATTTAAAAGCATTATTAATTAATTTATTTATAACATTCCTATATACGACCTTTCGTTCATAATGAGTTTTTGGTGAATATGTTACTGTATATTTCTTACTGCTCAAAGATGAGGTGTGTTAAATATGAAAAACTGTACACATTTAATATCAGGCAAATATTATTTTTCCATTGAATCAACCACTGTTATCGTATCTACTTCTCCATTATAAGACTCAGTGTACAGATCTAACGATACAGCATAAAAAATGGAATAGAGAAACTGAAAGATTTCAACTCACCCTGTATATAACATAGAGTTATTTATAGATATATATGTATGTATATAATATGTATATATATGTATATACCCACATATACACGTACACACAAAATTTTCTTTATTTGCATTTACCAAGGAAGAAAAAAAAAAGACCAAAAAAGGTGTTCTCAGGCTTCTTTTTTTATGGAAACAATAAACATACCCTTGAGATAAACACGAACTAAAAACATCTATTACCACATCCAAAATTATTTTGAGAGACGTATATGCATATATATATATATATATATATATATATATATATATATATATATATGTATATATACTACAGATATGCACAAAAAAGAAACAAACTATTTAGTGAGAAACCCAATGGAAGAAACTGAATTTTTCTTGGACAAATTTATCTTTAAATTAAACACAAAACGCAGAATACTCCTCACATGTGTATATATAATAATCGTAAATATTATTTTTCCATACTCAAAATGTATGCAATTTTATAGATCTTATATAATATTTGAAAACTTTTATAATATTTAAAACTCTTATATAATTAGCTAAAACAGGTTAAATTTTCTTGTGCAATAGTATGTTATTAATGGAAAGCGATATTTGTTATAAAAAAGAGAATAAGAATAATTAAACATTTTTTTCGGATATAAAACTAGGTTATATAAATAAAAATAATTTCTTAACAGGAAATTTAGCTAATTATATTTATTATTATATTTATTGGAGATCTATAGAGAGAGATATTCCATTTTACATTTGTGTCATCAAATACTCATAATGCAGGAGTAAAATCAAAATAAATTGATAATATATGAACAAATGATAAATTTGTCCAGCTTTGCAAATAATATGTTCTATGATACACGAGATGTAGGTGAACGCACGCAAGACAGAGAAAGAGCTACCTGGTTGATTCTGAGTAATTCACGGATGAAATTAGTAATCATCGAGGTCAACATCATCAAGAGGCTCATCAGCCTGTAGTGACTGGAAATCAACTTTGTAGCGGAGGATTCCTATGCACCAACATATATACTCCACAGTTAATATCAGTTTGATGAAATTTACCTTCCATGCAAAAATAATCTTTGCTCATGTCTAGCGTTGTAAATGTTAATCTCTATTGGCTTTTGAAGATATTGTGTACCCAAAAAACGCAACTACGCCATAACTTGTCAATATGTATAAATTTTCACAGCAAGTCAAATGTGCAAGTTGCACTAGAGAAAGCCTAGCACTTACATGATATTGTTTAGAATGTTTGATGAGAATATTTAAGTATTAAAATGTTTTTAATACTTTTTTTTAATTTTAGTTTTTCTTACTATACATTTTCTTTGATCCTTTTTCATCTATTATGCATTTTATTTTGCTTAGTGTATATATACATATTTTATAGTACAGGAAAGTATATATATATGTAGGTGACTCATAAAATTATGAATGATAATAATAAGCATATGTATAAAAAAAGACTCACCTCCAATGCCACCAAAACCTCTCACAAATTGAGATCCTTCTTGCGATTTGTCGGTGATAATTTCCAAGGTAGCACCAAAACTCTTATAATTGTTTGCAAGCCATTCAAGTAATGGTTGACATTCTACAAGTTCCAGTTCTACTCCGCTCTGTGAAAATAGGAGTAAAAAGACATAAGATACTTTATTTTTAAAAGAATTGAAAAAATAAAAAATATATTCCTATCTTGCAGCAGTATTTAAATGTTTACCTCCTTATCAGTGAAGTGAGTCTTGTCTTTTTCTTGTTCTGGTGTCAGGTGCAGTACTTTCTCCTCTGCATTTGTATGATTTTTTAAAACATATCGTTGAATATCTAAATTCTCCCAACAGATTAGAGTTTCGACACTACCTAATTCTAAGGCTCTTAATGTGTCTTCTACACCAAAACAGTATTTGCCAGTTTCTTGAGAAATCTCATCAAAGTAACGACCTAATTAAAAAAAATTAATAATAACAATTTATTAAATATATATATATATATATATATATATATATATTTATATAATTAATACATAAATATCTTTACCAATCAACTTTTTCTCTTGGATAAATTTCACATTTTGCAAAGATTCGGCTGCTAATTCAATAGCTTGGTTAAAACCATTTTCACCACCATACGATACATCAACCAGTTTTATAACCTTAGCTTGTAATCTCTGAAAAAAAATCATACATTATTATTTAAAAAAAATAATCCCTTTTATCTTAGTTCACATACATAAACAAAAATACATTAAGAAATTAATTAAAGATAATACATTAATAAAAAAGCTGCTTACCGGATCAAACATATCAGATTGACTAAGTTCCGTTTTAAAATCGGCACTACCCGCGAGAATCAATCCAGCGATATTAGGTTTATCGTTAGTGATGTATAATTGAGTAGCGACTTCAGCTACTTTTCGAACATAATTATGCCGCTTTTCCATACGTAATCGAGCAAAACGCAGAGCAGACTGACCACCTCTGCCTAAAATTCATAACTTTTACAATTCTCGATACATATCCAATATATCTTTATCCAATATATCTTATTGATTCTTGAAATCAAAGATAGAAATTAAATAATTTTAATATTTCCTTTTACAGTATTATCACAATAATATTTTAGCATTATTGTATAACATATTATACACACATACCATGTTTCTTGGGAAGGTCTACAGTGAATTTGTGTAATACTTCACGTGTGTTGCCTTGTAATGTGCCAAACAATGCTCCATTACCATCCATGACAATAAAACCAAATTTGTTATCGTCAGCAAGTAACGCCGTGAGTGCTTCTGTATGAAACTGCAAAATTATATATAAATACAATTTATACAAAATCATACACAAACAGAACACACACACATATATGCAAATATGAGAATGTTACAAAATGTACCTTATTATCACAAAGATATAAAGAAGTATTAATAGGCTTGAAAGGTTCAAAATCGATGTTAACTTTCTTTTCTTTTCCTTCTTCCGTTACAATAGTTCCGCAATAAATTACCAGGCCATTTGGAGGCACTAAAAAATATATTTATATCTATGATTAATAATCATAAATTGTAATATCACACGCATAATAAATGACTTAAATATATTTTTTACATGTAGAAAAAATTCAATATATCACAACTATGATCAGTAATACTACATTCTTGTATACTCTGTTATATTAAGTAAATATATTTTAATATAAATGATAAATATATAATTATCTTTATAAATACCTTTAGTATATAACTTTAGCCTATGCTGTACCGATGTGATTGCACCCAAAACAGATAATCTATTTACACGTGACTTAATATTCGACGCTGTGCCAAATTCATCCGCCAGCATCTTGCTTACTCTCGATATTTGGTCCTTTGGAGGTATGATTAATGAAATCATACTTGTACCATTCCTGCAAAGATATGTATACCTTGTAAAATACCTAAGTACCATTGAACATCATTAAACAATCGCTGTGGAGATATCTTCTTAAGCCATTACCCGAATCGCACGAGACATACATACTTTTTCTACGATAAATAAAAATTTTTCTTTCACAACTATATTAATAAAGGCCAGCACATCTCGTAGCTGTAATAAAATCGCGGCCGTTTAAACACGAAACACGGCCAATGAACATATGCTCCGCGAAGCCATATGTCAGGATGACCCGCGTGACGGTAACAGCTGACAGTACGAGGCACAATAACGTTGGCGCCGACCTACTTACCCCCTGGCCATCTCGAGGCTCTTTATGAGCTTTTTGATCTTCCAGATCTCGACATTGCGGTCGGCGGAGGTCTCCTCGTTCGACATCGCTGCTGGAGTGCGTGAGGACGCGTGGTCGCGGCGTTACAAGGTGCCCGATGCTGGGGATTAATCGTTGTCACGCGCACTCTAGCTCGCCCTTTGATGGACGATGTTGACGAGGATGACGACGACGATGATAACGACGACGGTGACGAGCAGGCAATGTGGCCCGCGCGTCGACGAAGCCGGGGGCACCGTGTACAACGGGTCTCTCTCTACGAAAATCACACGATATCGGAATATTATAGATAGCTATGAGATACCGCACCGATCCAGTTCGCACCGGATTATATCAACCACGGTGAAACGTGGTCGACATAGCCGTTCAACGCAGGGGCGGCCGTCCGTTCATTCCCTCCGCCTAATGTCGCGCGCGCGCGGGCATTAAACGTTTAAGCACGCGCCGTAGAACGGTCACCTTTGCACGCGGCTGTTCCTTCCTTTTGTTCACTCACTTTTCGGGAGATCGTTACACGATGTGTGCGATTAGGTGCGCCGATGCGGATGATGGTGCGGATGGCGGGATGGCTCGCTTCAACGGCGACACAGCTCGTGACACAGCCCACAGTACCACGCGAGCCTCGGAATGCACACGTCGGCCATGCGATGGCACAGCAGGAAACGTCAGCGGACCACGGTGGACGTGCCGCACCACGAGACAAAATGGGAAGCACAAAAAGACCTCGAGGCCGCCCAGTCGCGCACGAGAACGTAACTCGACCGCAGGTCGCGTTCGCATTGATTGGCGCGCGCCTCCCGTGCTGCCCTCGCGCTCGCGTCATTGGTTGTATCGCGCCACCGACGATTGCGAACGTGCACCAAATGCGTCCCGCGTTTTCCGCGCATTCAAATTTCTGTCCGCATAGAGACTTCTATATATTGTATATTATATATATTTTAATATATTTTAATATATTACACATATATATATATATATATATATATATATAAATTTGTACATACATATATGTAAGACTTATTATACTTGTTATATATAATATATAGAAGTCTGCGGAATGCAAATTTAAATTTATGAAAAAATTATATAATATAATAATAATAATAAAATAATAATATAAAAATGTATACATACACACACATATATATATATATATATATATATATATATATATATATATATACCTGTGAATTCATATCCTAAATTATATTTATTATAAATAAAAAAATGAAATTATAATTATTATGTCGAAATTATTGATAGAAGAATAATTAGGAGCGAGAACGATCTTCCTGATGATTCTTCCGTGCCAAATGATTCATGATCACTTTTTACCGTTCGGCCAATGAATAAAGAGAGACAAGTTGCCCCATCTGTTGTTTCTAGGTCGTTGTGATGGACGCAGATCATGGACAAAAACAGCAAAAAGGCAATGGCGGCTATCCATTGGACGGTCAATGAGCTCATCATGAAAAATCTCGGAAAAATGTGATCTACACGTTGCGATCGACGAGCGTAAATTCGAGGTAAGTATTCGCAAATCTCTCTGGGACAGCGCGCGATTTTCTCGACGCGGTGGCATTCATTTAAGATATCGCCAGAATGAGAATCTGACAACCACATGTGGCTCTGGAGCGACAGAACGATTCAAGGAAGAAAAAACGCGATTTGTCATTAAAAACTCAAAATATTTTTTATGTTAATCAATAATCGAGTCGTCCGCGTTAAATTGAAATTTTATTCATGGGAGATCAAACCAACCATCATTGCTCATTTACACTTCAATTTCGCGTATGCCAAATGCATCGACGTGACGTGAGACAGTCTTGTTTGTGTTAAATAAATATTATATGTTTGTTAATACTAATTATATGTTTGTTTACAAGATTTGATGCTCATCAATTTGTCGAGCTTAACAATAAAAAGATATACATTTTTTAACAATAAGAAATTTAAATATCATTTGTATATTAACTTGTATAAAATTATATTTTAATGTAGAAAATAAGTAGTCTAATTAGTTAAATAAAAAGAGATCTGCATCCTAAAATATATTTAAAGATATAAAATCTTCTCTTTTTCTCAATATATTCATTATATAAACTTTGATCTGCTTATTTAATATTACTATATAAACTTGTTTTTTTTCTTTCCGCAGGCCTGAAGGCGGAGGAATATTGTTACCTGCAAAGGTAGAAATGGCATGCAATATGAACAGGCAATGGCTGGTAGGCAGATGGACCTGTCATCGAATCGATTAGATGCATGCTGGTCGCTGACAGGTCAAGTAGAAAAGTACGACAGGCAGGAAGGAGTAAATGAGCGAGCGCACTTGAGTAATGAGCGAGACTCGGCATTATCCTATTCGCTCGGTCTCCGATTTATACGCAGCCGAGGAAATAGAAGTGCTTCTCCTAGAAGAAATACGCGACTTAGAACCACCACCTGCCATATATTCTAGACCCGAGGACATTCAGGACTTCGAGATTGGTATGTATTAAATAATTTCAATTTTAATTAATGCTCATATATTATTTTTGAAAATTTATGCATGTAATATTGCCAAGTTTCTTTAAATTATAATGCTGATTTAATAATTACTCTATGGTCACTTTCTAAAACATTAAAATGACACGTAGTTGTTAAAACTCTGACTAACTGCCTGCATTATCTTTCATACTTAAAATCATAATTATGTAATTACACATATGACTTTGTACAATAGTTTCAATATTGTATCAATAGCAGGCAGTAGGACAGGGGGGCGAATCAGCTCCCAATCATCGGAGCTGGATTCGCCAGGAGTCCATTCAACAGTCCATTCTTGGGATTCACATGCTAATTATCATGGTCACTATGGTAATAGTGATCACAGGCCTGGCTCTTCATCCAATGCTCTGGCTTGGTCCCGTGCAAGCCATGTGGTTATTTATTGTGACATACAAGGACATCTTAAAACAGCTACAGGTGTTGTTAGACTCTTATTACTTGTAAGTATAAAATTATTTATTCCTATATTTAAAATGATAAACTGGAAAAGTATTATAATTAAATTAGTACAAAACTTTTGTTTTAAACATAGTATTAATGATCCTTTATAGATATCCTCTGCAGCTTGTTTGGCAACATTATGCAGTTCTGGTACTGCCAAGGTCAGCCTTTTTATGCTGCCTTTAGCAGATCGTTTACGATTCATGATCTTTGTAGCTGTTTTCTGTTTCTTGGTCACTGCAGCTCTTCTCTTCCTTGATATTTCGCACGTCATTTACATCCTTCCTTTAAATTGGGCTAAGTTGGTAAATAGTATTTAGTTGCAATAAATGCATAATTCAGAAATATAATATCAATTATATTTATAATTATATTTAAATATTAACAATTGCAATGTTGATATTATTACACATATGTAATAGGATTTATTATTTTTTTTATAGAATGCTATAGTATTCACTGGCATAGGCTTGTCATATGCTGCAAGTAGTGCATTATTAGCATGTACAGTATGGGAATACCATAGCGGAGGCTGGGTACCGAGACGCACACGTTCCCAACTAACTGCTGCAGCAGTAGTAGGACTTTCATGTGCTCTCTTAGCATTTTTACTTTCGTGGATACATTGTCGGAACGGATCAAGTTGTAAAAGTCAAGATTCTCGTAGTCATACACCAACACAACTCTACAAACCTGTTGATAATTCTTCCTCCTCCGGGGTAAATGTATAAGTCTGTCTATTTTTTGGCACAAATATCATTTATTAATCACAGTATAAACGTAGCCTAAAATGCAGGTCACTTTGAAGGAACGTAGTCCTAAGAGACCCGCCTCGTGGACCGTGAAAAATCAACAATCGAAGAAACGCAATACGGACAGTGACACGAACACGAGTAACGGCGGTCATCGCGGTAATCATGAAAGACTTAAACAAGGCGCCAACAAAAAGGACCATTGGGCTTCGGCCAAGCAACATATTTTAGAAACACATACGAATAACGAGAATATTCATCGAGAGGATACTCAACGAGAGGACTCCGAGATTGAAAGGAGACGGAGAAGACGAAGGAAAGAAGGTGATAGTAGTTCAACCGGTGACGGAAACGCACCAGGTAGTAGTAAGATCGACGCTAGTCGCGTTACCGCGGAGGAGGCTAAAACTAGACGAGTGCCGCGAAAATTACCTCTACAATCTACAGTGGATCAACCTCGCTCGTGGTCCGACGCTGAACGTAGAAATAGTGGCACTACGCAAATTAGAAATAAAACTAAGCAAATGCCAGTGAATAATGATACACAGAATTGTTGTGACATGAACGAAACTAGATCTATCAATCAAGTGACTCGGAATGGTCTTCGAAACTGGGAGGCGGAATGTACATCTAACAGCGGCAGAGAAGAAGTTACTGACGCGAATGTGATTATTCGTAACGCCATGTGGTCCGGACAGTGGCGCCCACCACCAGATGATGTTCAACCTTGCTCTAGCAAAACTATCGATCCTTATAGCTTTGCCTGATCGTCTTGTGAAATACGAAGCACACACACTTTAGGTAAAAAATAAACTTGTTCAATCAAGCAGTTTCTGTGAACAATTTGTGACGAAATTTTTTATAAAACAAGTACATGATATACTTTACGTTGAAAATTTTATTAGACTGCAACCTTAAAGTGTTACTTGTTACATAATTTAAATCTTATACTTATCTCTTATTTGCATATAAATTTGCCTGACTTTAACACATATTTTGTATTCTCTATATTAAATAATGCACAGTGAGACTGAAGAACACAGTACCTTGGTTTTATATGTTCCATCTGTGTTTTCAACTGTGCATAGAACCGGATGTGATTTAAAAATGTAAACATAAGATATACATACATATATATATAATTGTTACACTTCATACATGCAACAGGTGAAAAAGACCATAGCCCATACTTACTGTAGGGTTTATCAAGTTTGTTGTTATCGAATTTTACAGGACGAAATTATCGTGTCCAAAGATTTAAGATCCTGTATAAAGTCATTGCTGCCTTGTACATTTTGCTGCCAAGACGATAAATTTTTTTTTAGTTCGGATTTCGACATTTTGCATGACACAAAACCAGACTGCCCAACTTTGATAAGCAAATAATGCCACTTCATTCCAATCATGTACCAAATAATAAATTTAAGTAAGTTTTAATGGGATTTTAAGTATAAGCATCTATATAGTATGTAACACAGATATATATATATTTAAAATCAATCATTTTTATTGTATTTTAATGCCAATATGTTTCAGTTTTCCATGCATACTTTAAAAGTTTAATACTTTTAAACAGAAATCATATATTCCTTTGAAAATTGAAAATATATACATTGAATTTAAAAAAAAATATGTATATACATACAGAGTAAAATGCAACTAGACCGATCTTTCTGTCAATCTTACATACAAAAATACAAATTGTAATTTTTTTATTTTTAAATTTTCATGTATAATCACAAATGTTTAAATAATTAGAAACACATTTATATATTTATTTCAACTCATTGCTTAATATTATTTAAGAAAATAAAATGCTTATATATTTAAATATTAAAAAATACATAAAATGTTATAAGCAAGATAACAGAAAATATAAAAGTAAGATATACAGAAAATGCGAGAAAAAATGTAAAAGAATTAGTTGATAAAAGTATGAAATTTAAAAATGATACATTTAATAAATCTACTAACAAAGAAAATAATCTTGCATGAAATCGTGCAGAATTTTCTATATTCTGCAATTAAAAATTTTATTTCTCATATTAAAGATATAAAGATACGATTGGAGTTTATTAATAAGTAGCAGCACAGCATTTAAAATCACATGATAATATTTTACTTTGTTCTAATGACAATACTTTTATATATATACTTCACATAATGGCCTTATAGAATTTTAAATTCTTATAATATATTAAAAAAGATTTTACAAATAAGTCTGTTTTAAAAATTTTCAAATAATACAATGATAACATTTTAGAACTTGATATTGTTTGCACTGGAAGATCTGTTTAGCATCTGCTATTTCTCCCTATGAATTATTTTTTTTTTTTTTTATTCTATGGTAATAAACTCTGAATTTTGTTATTCATTTATTATTCTAATTGGCCCGTAAACTCTGAAGTGTGTTCATTATATTGTATCATTCTTGCACAAGGACGGACTTAAAAAATGATTATGCTTAATTTTTACCTATAGCAAATGCTTATAATATTTTCAAATTAAATAATATTAATTTTGAGAAACAATATCGACTACATTCTGATTGTTTACATTCTTTATTAAATTTTAATAAATTGATTATTATATCTAAAATACATAATCATATTTTTTTTCAAATAATGCAGAAAACATAGATTTTGCATTTAGTCAAATTTTAAAAAAAGATAGTCCGTCCCTATTCCTATACAGAAACATATGCACTATCTTTAGGCATTTTATATAGCTTTAAAATTACTAGACGAGCAGTATTATGTATTATGTTTCCGCTTTAATAAGAAACTCTAGAATCAAACTCTAGTCATTTTTTTGTACAACTATATCTTCTTAATAATTCAACAATTTAAAGAGCAAGGTATTTTTTAGTACATACATATCGTATTAGAAGTACAATTCATCTTAGAAGAACTATTAAGCTTATTCTTTAATTGCTCGTGCTATTGAATCCCTTTTAATGTGTAACATTCTCAAAACGAATTTCTCTCTGATACCTCGTTTTTCTTTTATTCGGTCTATCATGATCTATCATACGATTGAATAAACACAAACATATTAATTAATCTTTATTAGAGCTACTACTAAAGCAACTATTTTGTCTTTTGATACAACACTACGAATGTAAACACAAACGTAGCAAACAGGCACACAGATCACATATTTATTGAATTTTGATGACCTTAAATCAATTAATAGTGTAAGAGAAATGCGTGTTCATATAGGTTTATAAAGAAAAATAGCATGTAATACAGCAGCTTCGTTGTGGCAAATATCGAGTGTTATAACTCGTGTTTTGTTGGGCACAATAAGAGTAATATGTAACTTTTCTGTGGCCCATTGTCGATATGCTGGGATACGTTTGAAAGTGTGAATATATCTCAAACTTAATAATGTCACTTTAGATTAACTAATCGAATAAACTAAAATGTCACTTGACATTATAAGGCAATTATCTTTGAGTTAAAAAAATGTACAGACACTGCCAGGAGAAATATAACGCTCTTTGAACGTAGTATATATCGATTGAATCCATTCTTTCTTTCAATGACTTTATATCCAAGGTTTTATAATTTTCGGATCATAATTCATCATATTCGAATTTGAATTCGACATACATAGCAATGTAATATCTCTACAAGATCAGCAAAATGAAAAATTTTTTTATGCATCAAAGAAATCTCTTTTGTTACTTATTCTTGTCATTTTTTGCATTACAACATTACAACATTTTGATTTATCATTCATATATAAAGTTAATAAATTCTAGGTGAATCCAAATGGATTAACGATAATTATTAAATTATAACGCAAATATGCACAATTATTTAATTTGAAGTAATCCTAATTTTTAATATAAATGTATATTTCATGTAAGAGCTATGTTATAATATATACACATATTCAATAAGAATAAGTCTATATTTTATAAAATTTTTTCATGCTTTTTGATATACAATGCTATTTTTAATTAATATTTCATAAATATAATTTAATTACTAAAAAAAATTCAATCTACAATATTTTGATCACGATATTTTATTTTACTTCATATTTCTATTTATAAAATATTTTAAATATTAATTTTTAAATTCTTAAAAAAAATTAAGAAAATATTTCGTTTGTTATCAAATAATATCAACAAAGAACTAATTATTTGGATTAAAGTCATCATTATTGCTATGATAGAAATCAAATTGTTACTATTTACAATAATTATTTGCTTCAACGAAGAAAATTAATAAATAGCAGCATGCTGGTGATATATGATGCACTGTTTTCTCAGAATTTGAATAAATTATCATTCAGGCAATAAATTTCAATTATGATTAATAAGCGCAAATTCTTTTTATATACTAGGCTCGATTGACAATGACCTATAGTGATAGTATGACAATCTAAGTCTGTACATGACCTGACATCTTACATCAGGCGAGCTAAAAGGAATCGACAGAAAATCATTGTATAAAATAGACATCTTAATTATTTAAAAAATGTATTTCTTTATGATTTCTATATTAGGATTTTAATTTCAGAAAATAAATTTCTGATAATTTTCGCTTTAATTTTTCTAGCAGAATAATTTAATTGGCCTAATTTCTCAGCAAATAACAAACATAACATGTTATATGTTTGGAATAAAAATGTTCATCTTATTTGAATATTTCGAATGTGTTCTAGAATAATTATATAAATATATTTGCACGGGTATGATAGTATCTATTCGTCATTGTATATTTATATATTTAGTTTACATGTGAGTGCATAATGTGATGCTGCCAATATTTAAAAAAAAACATCAAATTGTAGCGACACATTAATTGTAGAATTATTAGGTGAATCGTGAATTGAATGTCTTGAGCAAAGATCTGAGAATGAATATGGTTTGTCAGATTACCAAGAATGATGCGATGAAGCATCTTGATAATTTTGTCGCACTGATAGCGAATGATCTGGACAATAAATGATCGATGAATCACGTAACATCTAAGTTAGCGTTATCACGTATTCTTTTAAAAGTTATTTTATACATTTAGGAGTAACTCCTAAGAGAAGAAGAATATTATATACACTATTGATTGTGCGGAATTGTGCGTGTGACTGTGTTATTTAAGGATATATCACAAATCATCTAGTCATTAGAGTGAACTTTGTGTAATATTACTCAAGCAGAATATAATGTACATTCATTAATAAGTGCGTTAAATATGGTTCAATTGGCAATAGTTAAAAATATAAAATTATGTTCTATGTATATCATTGAAAAAAAACAATTATGTCACGCAATCATCAATCTAAAATATAAACAAAATTATCATAATTGTTGCGCGATTGAACCTTATAAGAAATTCACATCTTATAAAAAAATCAAGATATCCAACGAAAGATGTGTACATATAAATTGCTATACCCGATAATCTTTTTATAATTAATACATAACACATAATAATTATTTTCAATACAAAAGCAAAGCAAATATAAAGTAAAATATGAACATTTACAAAAGCGATAAATCCATGTCGAGCTTATATATGTACTTATATTTATCTTAATATTTTATCAATCTATGATTATGTGAATTTTTTAACATTCTTACTGATACTATTGTATAATCCTTTATCTTAATATTTAGAAATGCCCTACAAGAATGAACAGGAATTATAAAATTATTCATTTGTGTCATTTGTGTATGATAATGTATGTAACTTTATAAGTGCTGCTTTACAGAATTTCTCACTTTAATGCAGGAGAAAAATCGTTCAATTGTTGACGTTACGTTCAATCTCCTTCAATTTTCCAACTACGTCTTCCAAATTCTTACGGCATACGAAGTGCTTTGTTTAAGCACTTTCGTCTGACGTAAAGGAATAGGGATATACGGGTCCGATATAGCGATGAATCCAACTACTTGAAGAATGAAGAAACATAAAATATCACCTTTACGATTTCAATATCAATTATAAGGAAGGGGAATCATGTTTTAAACATATATCAGTTATTGAACATATATAAATGACTTACTTTCGATTTCGGACATACAGGGGCGAAGTCTGTAAAGATATATATGGTGAGTAAATGTTTTGAAATAATTGCTTATGTTTTGAAATAATTACTTATATTTTTACATCTTGCCTGCTGTTGAAGTCTTAATTGCTTCAGTAATAAATACTTATAGACTGATTTCGCCCAACTGTATTGATCACTATGCACGTTTGTTAATCCGGATAATTCGGTCGGATACATCAAAAATTGCGGTCTCGTCATGAAATGACGCTGTTGATGAAATAGATCTTGCTGCTGATCTATGTAATTCGAATAATATGGGTCATCGTAACTTAAATGATCCGAGGAAGATGCTAAAGAATTCGTGACTGCAACTGTGAGAAAATCGAAGTAAGCACATTTAACGTTATCACATACCTCACCAATTATGATTATTATATTTTACATGCGAGGTATCAGTGAGTCATATTTGAAGGTTTGCTTAACAAAATATATGTAATATGATATTAAAGTATAATTTCAATGAACCTTTAGCTCTCTGAACATTCAATAATGTTTCGTAATAATGTTTTTTGTACGCAGCTAGTTGAGACATTGAATGGACTTGAAAATTGCTCTTTGGATTTACATCGTTTGATTTTGATTCTGTTACCTTATATCTGAATTAAAAATCATTATTAACATTATCGTACAATTAAATCGTTAAATACAATGATAATTGCATATTTACCCATGCATTGATTCCTTTGAATTATTTTCTTTGTATTCAAGTGCAATTAATTTTTTTTCCATAATATTATCTAGATTATTTTGTTGTGATTGCGGTTTAGTCGCTTTATTGAGTTCCTGAGAATTATATTTGGTTTGCAATCCTCTAACGAATGTAAACGCTTTTTGTTTCGTTTTTTCATCCGATTCTTTTTGATTCTTTCTTAAATTAATATTCGTGTTCTGATGACTTAAAAATAAGCAGCTATTGTTGTCACTATTTAAAACATTGGATGTAAAATCTTGCTTTGAAACTTTAAGTGGCATTCCAGATTTCTGGCCTTTCGACGTAAAATATACGAAATTAAAGAAGCTCGACTGTGGATGCGATATGATGCGTGGAAAGGCCGACATTTCTGTACATACGTACACGAAAAATTACTTTTTTATAATTTTGTACCTTATCTAGAATTAATTTAGGATATATGTAATATACAAATAAATGAAATAATGAGATATCACCAATAAAAGTTCCTTCTTGCGCTCGTTTTAAAAAATTCTTTAAGCTTGTTTTAAGCTTATTGCGTACTGTTGCCAAAAGATCGTCCGTCTGTGAAAATTTAATGAATTTAGTTATTTTTTAAAAAAACTAATGTAAGATTCCAAAATTTTATTTTTAATACATCTAGAATAATATTTTGATCTTCGTTCCAATACACATCTGTATTATCTTTAATTGTTTCATTTTGGTCAATATTAACTATCATTTGCGAAACATCAAATTTTTTATTTTTATCGAATACATTATTATCTTCACTTTTTTTATATTTGTATTCAACATTATTAAATTGTCGTGGAATCTTATCTTTCCACGATTCCTCTATCTCACTATCTTTATATGTCTTTATAGAACATGTATCCTATAAGAATTATTAGAAATCCTTATATTGGTTCATTTATCTTATTTATTTTTTTATTCATTTTTTATTACAAACCTGATATAACGTCTGAGATGATGAATACCAAAGATTTGATTTATTAGTGGTACTAATGTTAGTGGGTATATTATATTTCTTATTAAGCAAATATTGTTGATAAAACGACGTCTCATATTTATTATTTTTGTCTAGCCAATTCTTTGGATTGTTACTTAATCGATGTCTCAATGAATCAGCCTGCCGATTAATATAAGATGCAGAATTTGGACTGACATCAGCTAGAACTTCTGAACGAGAAAAATCGCATTCTATGGTTTTGTACAAATAATTTACGCTTTTTACACGACTGTGAATCGTAGAAATTTCGTTCTCGGGAAAACCTCGGAAAGGGAATGCTTCGGAAAGTGATGACTTAAAATTTGACGGATTGTTATATAAAAAATTTTGTTTTGATGAAATATCATTATCCATTATTCCGTCCATATTTTTTACGTCAAATATATTTTGGAACGTATTGCTATTGATAATGAAATATAAAACTGTATGAAAAATAATATCAGAATATAGCGTTAAAGAGAGAGAGAGAGAGAGAGAGAAAATGCTCACTTTTCCTGTAGATTAAGTTTGATAAAACCTGTAGTTGTATAAAAAACTTCTTTGATCGTGTGATATGGCACATTATTTGGAACAGGTATTATTGAAAGCAATAATTGTTTTTTTCTAAAATTACAGTCTTCTAGTAAATCTTGAACTTTTCTTAACACACATTCGTATGCGATAATACCATCTTTCGGTTGATATATGTGTAGTAATTGCGTTATTATATTCGCGATATCGCTTCCCTTATAATCATGCTTTAAAGCTGAATACAATGATGAAATATCTATTGCTCCAATGGTGTCAATATCGTTTGTGTTCTCTACAATTTATAAAAATATCCTGATTAATTTTTATTACGTTAAAAATTAAAATTTAATTTTAATTTAATTTTAATTTTAATTAAATTCTATACTTTGTATAATTTTACTTCAATAATTTTGTTATTGTTTTAATTAATTTTAAAAAAGCATTTTTATATATTGTATATTTATTAAATTTATTTAACATTTTTGTTTTTAATTTAATATTGTGTAAATAAGTAATCGTAAATAAATAGAATTGTAAGATAAGTAAGATTAGAAAAATAGAATTATATTAATAAATGAAATTGACAGCCACAATCTATATGCACCTATTATTTATTTCTAATTCCATGATCAATTATATATTAAAAAATTATATTACTTACGTTGCTCAAAATTATCCATGTTTATAATAATATCAGATTTAAATTAAAAAGAGAATGCTAAATGTACAACAAGCTTGGATATTTTATCAAAACTCCAATTCGAGTCAAAATAAGGTGAAATAATTGAAGCAGCTTGCATTATTGGAAACAACTGACAAATGCAATATACATGACTCATTTGTAAAACGATTAAAAATAAAATACGTTAATATACATAGTGAGCAAGAAAAAATAAGTGACTGAATGAAAATACAAAATTAGATAAAAAGATATATAATATATCTTAAAATTCTTCCTTTATTTCCTTTATTTGATATTTCTTTTTAAAAAATCATGATTATTTTCCTTTGTTCAAAATAGATATACTTATATCTTTAAGAAGGAAATTACATTTCTCTAAGAAGAGATTGCATCGATTAACTAAAATACACAACTGTTCTTTCTATAATTTTCTATATAAGTAGATCATTTTAATCAGATTCTGTCGTGCGGAGCACGAGCCGGAACATACTTTATGTGAATAATCCCGAAGACTTTGCAAGGATTATTGAATAATGGTTATTGTAAAAGCACGTCACAGTGTAGATCACATTACTTAGTGCAATATGCTTCCACAAAGAAGTAGTTTTATTTTCTATTTATCTGCTGGCATTCTCTGGCAGTTTAATTTTGGCACTTTCACCTGGAGCGTCATAGACAGGCTTTGTATCCAAACCTAGTAATATATTTCTTATTTGTGTCCAATATTTTATTAAAAAAATGAAAAATTATAAATAATTACAAGTATTCATTTCGAAGATTTCTTATTTTTAAAATGTTTTTCAATATGTTTTTAAATATGATCCAAAATCAAATAATCTTTTAAATGTCAAATATTAAATAGAAATAAGGTATCTTATTTAATTTTAGATGATTTATTTTTCTTATTTATTTATACATATGTAATTATATTTTTTTTCACAAAAATAAAATAAAATAAAATAAAAGGAATTATATGTAAAAAAAAATAAAAAAACTTGCAATGTTAAATCCAATTTCACAAAATATTATTCTTTTATTCAATTCTTTTTAATATATTAATTTCTTTTGTATAATTATAGATGTAAAAGATATAATTATGATATATCGATTACTATTTGATATAATTATGATATATCGATTACTATTTTGTAGTTTATTCACAAGCCCTTGAATCTCCGCCTGGAATGGATTACGATATCCGTGCCTTATGCGAAATCTCCATTCTTCTCGAAGTTTATCGATCCGAAGACATTCATTTCTAAAAAGACGGATATACTGAGCAACTTATTCGATGATTTAAGATCAGTTGCATATAATAAAGCAAATACCAAGCCGATTATCTTATACGGTGCAAGTAGACTTCTTTTAAATAACACTGATAGTGCAAATGCATTATTTAATAAGCAAAATATAATACAAGATAAAGAGAAAACGATCGATAATAATGGTAAATAATATAAACGTGGTATGTTGGGTCCATTCGCTTCAAAATTTAATCCGATGGGTCTGAAATTCGGGTCCATTATGCCATTTTCATCGTCAAAAGCAATGCCAGATTATTTGAGCAAAACATCTTTCTTCCGCAAAAGAAAAAAAACGCGTAGACGCGTCTTCTTTCATAAATGGCATCAATTCCATTCCAAGCTCATTGTCTTATCCAAAAAATCCACAAATAATAGAAAATACATCGGCAACAAAATCAGCTGCTAGTAAGCCTCCAAAAGAAATATTTGCCGGGAATATTCGAACTTTTCGGACCAGGTGGACCTTTCGGATCAGTGGATCCGAGCATGTTCACTGCGAAGAAGATAGAGTTCCTAGATACGCTCTTCAAAAATCTTGCCACTAATACTTCAGCAACAATGACCGAAATACCCACGTCGAAGAGCACTATCGTACTATCAGCTTTTGGTTACCATCCTCTGTAATTCCCAGCCCGACCGAACACAAGGTATACATCCAAAAGGTGTCGGACTTTCTGGATAAGTTTGACAACATAAAATTAAATGTAACTGTGCAAGAAACAGACGATAATTCAAGCGCAAAAGGCGATTTTATGAGATCTCTAAAATTTGATGATATTTTATAGGATAAAAATGCAAGATCCTTGAACGATGCATCATCGCAGCTGTTAAGGACGCGATCATTGATATTACAATATCGGAGCTTGGCAATCTAAAGAACAATATGATAGCAACTCTGAATGATCTGATTGCGTATGAAAAAACCATAACTGCTACAGCAAAAAGACCTTTTAAACGATATGTTTCCCCGATATGTTTCCCTTTATAAAACCAACAGATCCAACGCTTCCTTTTCAACAGAGAATGGCTGTACTTAGTCAAGTATATTGACGAATCTGCAAAAAACATCACTACAGTCGCGAAGAACTCTGATACTCCGAACAGCTCGAAAGAATCATCAAAGATTCCATTAACAGCGCTTCATCAATTAATAACACTCCCTTGGATGCCATTTTGAAGAAAATATCCATTATCGATCCTGTAACTATGCCTTCTTATCCGGCAAGTTCTATCAAAGATAATCCTATAATAAGTAGGGCTCTGCGCAAAGAGCCAACGTTTTCCTGGGTGTCTTATCCGCAGAATTCGGCATCTGCTATGAAACGACGAGTGAACGATGATTTGCAATCGTACTTGGGATATGAAAATGATCCTCGGCATGATCATAAACAATACACAAGAGGCGTAAAAATGCAGATGCATCAGGGATATCAAAGTCTACCTGCAGGTAGGAATCTCGGTGGAATCTACAAGCCGGGGAAGGTTCTACACCAGAACATCAAGGAAGAGGGATTAAATTGTTGGTAAATGTATGATTTTCGTTTGAAACATAAATCTACAATTATAACATTACATCAATCGAAAAATATATTCCACATTGAAATAAAATAAAATTTTATAATATATGATTCGTATATTATAAAAGCATATTACTTTAATTTTAAAAATCAAAATTAAATATATTATTATTGAAATACGTAATGTTCAAAAATAAAATCAGTTTGAAACAAAGAAAAGTGTTTAGCAAGTATAATAATAATAATAATTTTATATTTCTGTAATAATTTTCACTAATTGCAATGTTTATATAATAATTGTTATATTAATCAAATATTAATTACTAATTTGTTTATGTCATCTTTTTCTTAAAATATCTTAATTAAATCTCTTATAATACGATAATTAATACTAATATCTTTGAACAATATTATTTTGATGATATTATATTAAGCTAAAAACTTTAAACTTTTTCTCTCACTTTTTATATTACTTATTAATTTATAATAAATATCATATTGCATGTAATATCATATTTACAAAATATATAGGAATCTCTTTTCAAACAGGTAGTATATACAAATAAACATTTCCGAATTTTAAGAACAATTTTTTGACATGTTTTGTAATGTTTATTTTAAACCTATCCTTAATCTTCTTATACATAATCTACTTATTTAATATTGTGTTTAGAATTATCAGAAAAACTTATTCTTAATCTTTTTATACATAATCTACTTATTTAATTGTGCTAGAAAAGTACTCAGAAAAAACTATCAAAGTAAAATTAAAAATTATAACAACAAAATATTAAATATTAATAAAAAAAATGAATAAAAGTCAATATGTGCACACACATATATAATTTTATATCATAACATAGCATATGATGCATTATAATACCTTGGAAGCCTATGTCTAAAATATTCTATTTAAAGTGAGGAATGGAAATTAATAATTATATTAATATCTAATATTTCATCCAAGAGATCTCGTGTCTAATCAAGAGAATAATATTCATACAAGCTATAAAAGGTGGTAATCTAATTTGATTTCAGATTAAAATGCCTAAATTGCCTAACTCTCAAGCTCCAGGCTTTCAAAGTATTAATTACAATTAATATGTGCAATATCTCTAAATTATGAATATCGCGGCCGTCTATTCATCTGTCGCAGGAGCCTAACATTTATGGAAATTTGAACAAATGGACTGACTGGATGCAGTATCACAAGAGTGAATATCAAGATCATAGGCACCATCATAACCAGCATTAATCTACTCTTAGCCAGCAGAAGTACTTCTTTCATCATATATTTACATTTATTGAATTTCAATGAAAAATCTTCTAAAAATGTTATCATCTGATATAAACATGTATGATTAAACGTTATTTTTCCTATAATAAAATATATGGTGTAAAAAAAGTAATAAAAACATCATTTATTATACAGAATCGCATAAAATTATTTACGGTAAAGAATTAAGATACGATATAATCAAGAATGAATTTTAAATGTCAGAATTATTGCACAATTTGTTTTTTACCAAATACGATACAGAATTTTTTCTCTATGTAGATGTATTAAAGGATATGAAAGATGAATGTTCCTCTAATATATTTGTCGTATTTAATCTATTCTGTATATAATTGCACACACACATATTCTCTCTTTCTCTCTCTCTATTTCTCTTTAATAATAGTGTCACACGACAATGTATCCACAATAATCGCGCAGGCACACAGACGCAATCCTGCATCAAATACGTTGCTTTGTCTTTAATCAGCAATGCATTGCATGCAGAATAGTGTTAGTGTGTTAGGAAGCATCACAATTTAATTATGCAACATAAGATTCTATATAAGATGGACATTAATATCTAACATTAATATCTCGAAAAAGAGGAGAGGCAAGTTTCCGTCCTTGAATACGAGAAAACATCATTTATAATATTCGTTTTATACATATAATGAATGATAAATTATAAATGATATTTCCTATATTGAAGGATATATGTATGTTTGTGTGTATGTGGCCTTATATTTATCCTATCTTTTGTTATATTTTCATATAAAATTGTGGAAATATTGGCAGTATCATAAGCATAGACTCGTATGTTTCGTCTTTTATATTGTAATATCTCGAATCTTTATATTCATAAGTAACGAGCCATTTCCAGATTTGCAAAGTGAAATGTCTTTGAGACTTTAGTACTTAGCTATTGATTGTACTACACACCCTTAAGAATAAGTCACTATCATCTGCTTTTCGTGATTTTAGTAATGAGGTATTCCATTTGTTGATCAATGCGAAACACCATGTAAAATGATGCTAGTACACTACCCAAAGTTACCAGAAATCCTAATCCCTCAAATATTAATTTCGGTGCGAATATCTTCCAAACCATTAAATGCCGACAGTGTATTGTTGCCGCAAGCATGCTGCCAAAAGTCTAGAAAAGAAGTACAATATCTAATTTTATATATATATATATATATATACATGTGTGTTTTTGCACACATGCAGAAATTGTTCTTTAAAGAAAAAATAAGAAATAAATATGCATTTAATTTTGCTTTTTATACAACATACCCGGATTCCGTGAAGTAATGTATATCTTCCTGCAATCGAGAAAATTGCAGCATGGAAGGCAGAATCTTGTTCAAATAATAGAAGTTCACCTCTCTTTATATCATCGAAAAATTTTGCTTTAAGAAATTTCGGAAATATCCGATGTAGCGTAAATGGCACAATCACTAATAATGGTAATGTTGCACCTAATATAATATGCGATCCGAATGTATTGATACCTGCAAATTGTTTTATGTTTTATGTATGTCAGAATTATAGATAATAACAATTTTAAGAAAACCTATTTTGATATACCTACCGACTAAAATTGCTGATACTATGTTTCCATAAAAGTAACCACCAGTTCCTACAAAGGCAGCATGCCAGTGAATAGTAGGAAATGTCGCTTGATGGCCAGTTCCATAAAAGAAATATTCAGCTAATAAGAACCAACAGAATAGCACAGGCATGGATACATCCATCAGTTCAGCTGTGTGCAATACAGTAATACATAAAAATTTTAGATTTAAGTATAAGTAGATAACATACAGATTCTATATATTGTGTGTACTTACAAATATTATTAGCATTTTTGTATCTTTCTATTGCGGATAAACCCAATACACAGACGCATGTTACAAACATTAAAAATGTACCAGGTGATAGAGCATCTCCTAATAATAATGCATATAAAAGTGTAAGGAATACACTTAACGAGATGAATGCAGCACTATAGGCAGTTCCAAAACCGTAAATGATTGGAAGCTCATCAGCATTTATTCGTTTGCGAGAAATCGAATTTTTTATCTTTTCAAATAACCGAGGCACTATGTTTTCGTCACGATAGAGATCGATGGATTCTTTCTTCTTTGGCAACAAGTATATACTGAGTGGACGATAATAGAGAGTGATAATCGCTAACACGCAGAAGAAATAAACTACGTTAGGTAATATATTAATTTCCCAGGAGAGGGAGAGTTTCGGTTTGATACATTTCGGGAACTTTTGTAGAACCCAGTAGCAACCCATGCAAACGCTTACAATAATTGGACAATACTGTCCCGCTATGACGCTAGGAGCCCAGCCTGTGAGATTTCCACAACTTTGCAACCACAATCTAACTATTACCACATATGATGCTAGAATGATTAAAGCAAGTAAAACAGCAAATAAAGCATGCTTCCAATTATTCGATACTGTGGACCAGTCAACTTTACCAGTCGCAAGTATAGAGCATTCCCGTTGTAAATGCTCCTCCCTACAGCGCCAGAAATAATGCGATAATCTCATCGAGATACATGCTAATAAACCAACAACTAGTACAATTGTCCTGAAATTAGGTTTTGACGGCTTTGACATAAATCTTGTCTTCTTTTCAAAAGTACTATCAGAATCACTTTTTCTTAAATTAAAAATCAACAAAAAAACAAGTGTAACAAATAGAAAGGACAAGACTTTGTCTTCTTCAACTATGTAGCTGTTGGAGAAAAGCGTACATACTGTTAGAAGAAGTATTATCCTTGTTACATAAGTCAACAACTTAATTCTACGATGATCATACCAGCACATTGATATAACATCCCAGTTCTGAGCAATTACTATAACTAATAAACCAATAGAAATTGCACCAGTGGCAAAAAAAGTTGTATTCCTCAATTCTTCTAAAACATTAAACAAAAATAAACATGTAGTAATTGCTGCAGTAATTAAATTTGCTATAATGGCACATTGTAAAAATGAAGATTTAAATATATCACACATACGATTTTCAGGAATACCAGTGATGAAGAGATAAAAGAAAAATAAAGAACAAAACATCAAAAGTAAACCCTTAGAAATTAAGCCTGAATCAAATTGGACCCACACTTCAGAACATGTGTCTTTTAATAACTTAAAATAACCTTTGGTATCTCCGATAAACGTCTCTAGCTTTTCAAAACTATCAATATATTTAATTCGTTCGGCGAGAAGATTATACACATAATTTAAATGCTGAAGCTGCTCTTTTGAAAACAAATATGTATCTGTGGAATATACCTCTATATATTTTTTTGTTTGGGCAATATTTCTCCACAGAGACTGTAATACATATGATAACTGACCAGCAGTGTCTCCTACTTTATTTGGCAAACAATCTAGTATTACAGAACCTAAATTAGAAAAAGGAATTGGTGTGCCAAGAATCGATGCCAGAGTAGGAACAAGATCAATTTGATTCACGCTATTATCATTATCAATCGGAAATCCTTTCATTAAAGGAGTTGTCGAGTAAACGAACAACGCAGCCTCAACTTCATTCAAGCTATCACCACCATGGTCACCTGTTTCAGTCATGCCATGATCTCCAACAACAAAAAGCATCATATCTTTTTCAAGAGATGCTACAATTTCTTTTATAAGTGTATTTGTGTCGTTCAATTTTCTCGCCATTTCTGGGTGTTGCGAGCCATGCTTGTGTCCACAATGATCAACTCCAAGTGTATGCGCTATTAGCAACGACCAATCTTTCTTTTTCATCTCAAAGAAAATGCGGTATTGAACATCTTTGTCTACACTGTCCAGATCCCAGACATTAAATGATGGCGATGGAAATTGTCTCATAAATTTATTCGGGAATAGATTGGTCCATGTATCATCTCCCATAAAAACAATACCTCCGGCAACGTTTTGGTCAATAAGATTGTCTTCTTGAATATAATCCGAAGCAAAGTTCGAGCCTATTTCTATAAAAGTGGGCAAGGAACCTGTCGTAAGACCCTTGAGACGTTGCATAGTTGTGGTAGGCGGATCGGCTATGAATTTGTACAGGCGAGAATGTGACGGATGTTTCTGCAGTAATTCGTGAATTACGGGCAACTTATTACGATGATAGGAGAACATCGAGGCAGTGTTCTCATACCACTCCGCGAACTCGTACTTCAAGGCATCAACGATTAAGAGCACAACTCGTGCTCTACGCTCTAGGCACACTTTAGCGGCGTGTTCCATGTCCTGGAAGATGTTTGTCATGTCGCAATCACCAGCATTGACCGCGCATTGTATGCATTCAGCCTGTTCGGGCCTGGAGACGCGATTAAGGAGGAAGCCACTCGTGAAGACTAACAATCCAGCTGCCATCAAATAAGACATCCATGCCTGAAATACTAAATAATTCCATAGCCTGCTCATTTTTGTCAAATCAGTATTACTCCTAGATATTATTCACTGATGGCACAATGAAACTTGGATGAAATCTTAATCTACGACACGTTGTCGATTTATTCTTCACCATTGTTACATTTGCAGAATAAATACGCGATCGTCCTCGTATTGTTTTTGTTTAAAGACACTTAATCAATAACTCATGTGTCGAGATTATAAACGGATTTTAACCTCAAATCATTTCCAACTTTTACAACACATATGTAGGAAACAGTACGGCCACTGTTGCCAGAAGTGTCAGAAAGAAGCGACATGCCCTCTATGAACATTAAAAACGTGGACATGAACTACAAAGCCAACGTCCACGAATGTTCTCAAAGGGTAACATATATGTCTCTCTGCTAATATAAATAATATAAATAAAAATATAAATAATTTAATAATAATTTATTAATAATAATTTATTTAATAATAATTTATTTAATAATAATTTATTATATAAAAATATTAGTATGTTCTCTCTTTCCACACTATTATTTATTTATTTATTTATGTGTCTTCTTTTTTTGTTCAACATTTATTTATTTATTTATTTAGCTCGCTATAAGTCAATCTTTTAAAATATAACTAAAAGCAAAACTAAATATTATAGAATTTGACTTCGGAAAAGCGCGGTAAAATAATCGAATAAATTCAAATAATTAGATCCGTGATAAATTATTTAATAAATAATCAATTTTAATCAATAAATTAAAATACTTCCATAATTTAATATTCCATGTTAATGTATATTTTATAATTTATAAAATATTTTGGCAACGAATTATCGACATGGCATTCGACTTTGGCAATATAAACAATAGCACGCTATTGTTAAATATGTTACGGTTTTATTATCATTCGCATGATGACACTTGAGCGATAAAGTAGTGATGCGAAACGCTTCGCATATTGTCGAATTTTTTTTCTAAACACGATTACGATTAGTATCAAAACATAATTTGATATAATTACTAATAATTAAAAATAAATTAACTTATGATAAATGTCATGAAAATGTATCGCAACGATAAATCTTTATCGAACCGCAATCATTAATTACTGCGAATAAAAATTGAAAAAGGGAATATAAAAAGGGATAAAGAAATTAATTTTATTATGATCTTTCGATTATTGCTGCTTAGTATAATAATTTATCTAACTTATACTTATTAGAATTAAATAAATTTCGACCAATGTTTTAAATTTTCTTAATCGGCAATCATATATAGAATATTTCAACGACGAATTATAACAATAACATAATATAAGTCGGTCTTGGCGATATAAACAGTATTGCGGTAATGTTTCTGACCTACGATCATTCCCTCAATGGCCTTCGAACAGTGAGGTAGTGATATGAGACGTTCCATATATTATTAAATTCTTTCTCTAACAATTATTTTGAACATTGCTTTATATAATAGATTTTCTCTTATCTTTTATATTTTTATTTATCGTTTATATTTGCGAATTAAAATTTATATAGTATATTACAAAATTAATTATATATTATATTATATATAAAATTATATATATAATATAATATAACCCTCCCATAGGGTACACCTTGTCGCGGTGGGAGGGCTTAGTACCTGGACGGTGCCTTGAGATTTATCTTAAATTTTTCAATTTATGATAAATCTTAAGGTGCCTGAAAGGGAAGCTAAGTACCCTTTCGCGTCGTCGGTGCCGTCACCGTGCCGCGGACGGCAAGCGCTTCGTCAACGCGTCGCGTTAAGTATATACATATTAGAGAGTGCCGTTAAAGATATATACATATTAAGTATATACATCGCGTGTAAAATAACGAAAATAGCGATATAAAAATATCGCTGGAGTGCGGGAGTGTCGTCAGTATCGCGCGCCAACAACATGAGATACGATATATTAAAGTGCGTTTCTCGTAATTATTCCGCGATCGGGAGTGCTATGCAAAGTGTCTCGCAATCGTTTCTGTACACGGTTAAATATAATTAATTGTTTGTTCGCGAGTGAATATCAGTGCTACGAGGAAACAGCAAAGAATGAAAAAGAAAGGAGAAGGACATCTGGAAAAGTATTGGACAGCCAGAGAGCAGTGACAGAGCCTGAAGCATCCAGAGAGATATGTGGTGAGTAATTTATAAAAATTATTTATTATTTATATATATTATTTTCCAGGGTTGGGAAGTAACGCGTTACTTGTAACGTCGTTACAGTTACTTTTTTCGATAACTGTAACGGTAACGACGTTACAAATTTCGTAATGAAAAAAGTAGCTTTGTTACAGTTTTCGGTAACGAATAACGAATTTAACAGTTACTTTTATTGCCACTTTTTGCAAATTTATGAATTTATAAATTTAATTTGCGTTTAATGAATTATTTTTTTCGTTTTTCTCGTTTATTTTTTTCTGCTTTATGATATTCACTTGATATTCAAAAAAAGTAATTACGCACTAATCAGCATACAATTATACAGCAATTTACGCTTTGTACAACACTCGCGACGTTACACCAAGCCTTTTGTCATTTTGCTACGTGATAATAATGCAATATATCTCAAAAAGTTATGACTCACTCGACATTAATTAAAATCAAAATCAAATCGTGCCACTCGCTGTGTAAATAAAAATCGTACAAATTAATAATCACTAATTGTAAAAATTATACAGAACAATCGCGTTTTGAAGGATCGATTCTCGACGAACGATTCGAGTCTTCCCGCGAGAAGTCAAAATTGAGTTCGAACGCGTGACGCGCGTAAAAATAATATATCAATTCGTCATATAACAATTCTTTTAAGAAAATAACCAGTATATTGAAACAGTTTCACCAACTGATCAATTGATCGGTTTTTATATCAATAATTAAATCGGTAAAACTGTTTCGATATACTGATTATTTATTTTAAAAGTTTATTCATTGTTGCCGCGATGTTAACGTACGGGATAAACGGAATACATTCGTAAATTACAATTTTATTATTAATAAATAGTTGATTTGATCATTGCTCTTTCTATTATTCGAAATACTCGATTATACGATTGGAATATAATGAGAATATAATTTCGAAACACGTATTTCGCGTGATGTGTTCATTTAATTAAAAATAGAATCGAATGCAATTAAGAATCGATGTGTGACCGGAATCAAAATTATAAATTATCATTTTGTTGCAATCTTTAGGAACAATAATTATTATTCTTTTAATATTTATAATTAAGAATATTTCGTTGATCGAATGGCAAAATCGAATAATTAACGTAATGGAAAGCCTTGTGATATTAATTGTATATTAATCGTTTAATAAATAATTAATCTGTGTGTACATGTGTGTGTGATTTTAAAAATATACTTGTATATAAATTCAATTTTCGTATATGTACGTCATAGTACGCGTTAAATATTTCGGCAGCGAGGTCAATAACACGACGTTCGGCCTTGATGACGTAGCGCTGTATTGTTTACATAGGCGAAGACCTTGTATCATTCGCACGGCGATATTCGAGTAGTAAAGTAGTGATACGGAACACTTCGTATTATTGAATTCTTTTTCTGTGCGATCGCGATTAATATCGACATATAATTCGCTACGACTATTACAATTAACAATTAATTAACTCTTAATGAATAACATAAAACTATATGGCGATGATACATCCATCGAAACGCGATCCTTCGTTATTGAAAAATAAAAATTGAAACAAAAGAGCCGGACCTGTTGACTCGAAGATGACTCTTGTGTGAAACGGGATTTTCGCTCGTACCGAAACCGGGAGTGCCGTTTAAAGTATATATATATTAAATATATACATCGCGCGACAAAACAGACAATTTTTAATCATATCGAATAGTGCGGGAGTGCCGTTCAGTATCGCGCGTAAAATAACGAAAATAGCGATATAAAAATATCGCTTGCGAGTGCGGGAGTATCGTCAAAGTATCGCGCGCCAACAACATGAGAGGAGGAGGAGGCCTGGGAGAGGCATCTTGCATCGGCGGAGCAACCTGATGGTGAATATTTATTATTTGTATATCAATTGTTATAAATCATACGCATAATAATTGGTTCTTATAATTTAAAGGAATTAAACAGAAAATTAGAGAGAAAGATTTTTATAAATATGAAAATTTCTATTTAAAAAATAATTGTAAAATTTATAAAATCTTCCCATACGTGTTTATATCTGCTTATTATTTTACACACCGAATATGAAATTCCGCAGCCTTGTTATAAATGAATTTTATATTTGTATGTTTCAGACGTAGTTTTAACGACAACATAATAACGAATAACGATAACTCCGCTGCTGCACATTAATGCCATGGTGAGTGATTAAAAACTTTTATTTAATTTTAAGGTAACGGTAGAGATTGTAGATAAATCTGTTGCCTTAAAATGGATGAACTGGTATAGATTAAATAACTTTCAATAAATTCGTTTGAAATGTATTGCATTCATCGCGAAAACATTACAGTATATCATAAAGAAAGAAGATCGAGAAAAGATCACTCTTGTAATTTTATCTAATTTATTGAAAACAACATTAAAAATTCTAACAATTACATCTGATGCTAATTTATTCTTATAACACGTATTTATCTTATTCACTTACCTTATTCTAATTTCTTATAGCTCGTCCATTATAGAATTTGTTGTAGATATTGTTTTTAAGCTTAATGTAAAGCCAAATGATTAATTATTATAATGAAATAACTTGTAATATGATAAGTGTTATACATATATTAATTTTTTTATAAATTTATTATTAATTCGCACATCTGCAATCGAATATTCCAATTATTGTCGATTTATTTAATCGTCGCGTTTTCTCGTGAATTTGAAATCGCAATTTATTTAGTAATTTAATTGTTGATTTCGAAGTATTCTATTCATTTTGAATATTTCCTTTGATAATATACACAAAATGCGCCAGTAATCCAAATACTTTCTTTTACAGTCGAAGAAACGATCAATAATTTTATTAATGATTCTTTTTCTTCTTTCACGATTATTTACGTTATATAAAACTTATTAAATTCTATTGTTGCATATCTATTATTAATAATAAATGTCACATAATTATCGATAACGCGGCGTTCGACTTTGGCAATATAAAATAAACAGTAGCACGCATTATTTATTAAACAATTTATCACGGACTTTTTCGTTATGTTAATTATTTGCATTTATAATTCGATTGTTTTATTTCGTGTTCTCTCACAATCCAAATTATATTTAG